GGGTTGTATCCCATTTAATATTGCTGTCATTATATGCTGATCAGGTAATTTAACCTTCCTCCCTATTCTTATAATTTACACCACAAAGTTCCTGATTTTGTCGTCACCCTGGAACTGAATTTAGAAAAGGCAGAGCTTTCTGTTGCCTAGTTTGCAAAGATTTGACATGCTCTATTACCTTATTAAGCTGTTCGTTTGTTGCTACTCCAAACAGACTATTTGACTGCCCTCTTCCGCCCTTCCGCCTATGTCCTCTTTTAAATGTAACATTACCATAATTTACTTGAAATATCTCTCTTTTGCAGGGCTCTCAATTCTTAACATGTTTGGCAGTATAAACGCATACCTTCATCTGTCACCCTATCAGTGATCTAATGTTTTCTCTTCATATCGCCTAACACAATTATATCCAAAGCTAGACTCTAAGGGGAGAGTTGGCAAATGAATCAACATAGTGTACAGTCAATTCTTAAACTTAAATACCCCTATTTCCATATTATCTATTCTAAATGCCTGACAGGCTTCCCCTTTGAATTGCTAGAAGACCTCTCTGCTGGCATTCTTAGTTTCAGTCCAGTTTAAGCTGATAAGGTGCCTGTTAGTGTTTTGCTGTCCCCTAACTATATGGTATTCGGCAAGTCTTGAGTGTATACCCTAAGGATAAGGGGTTCCGCATCCCCTGGGATGTGGAAGGTTCTGTTAGCTTTTTATTCTTGTAATTTTCTGTTGTATGATGTGAGATTTTCATAGGGTGATTGTGTGAAATTTTCTATTTGGGTGTTAAGTCGTAAGTCCCACTATACACTTTTTTTTTTTGTCTTTATGTTGGCACACTGTGTGGCACCATGAAGTACAGATATTGCACTGGATCCATTTGTGGTAATCCATTTTTACAAAATGGTATATCACAAAAGGTTTCCTTGCTTTTCCTGAAATCCCGCAATAGCCGATCCTTAACATAAGCCCTAAAAGGTATCTAGGCAGATGGACTGTTTAACCAAAGTCAAACCTGCTCCCTTAAGGACTGTTTCTGCATTCTGGAATTTCATAAAAGCAAATATGTTACAAAGTTGCAAGCAAGTCTGGTTTTCAAAGATGCCCAGACAATCATGATTAGATTGTAGCTCTAGCCAAAGAGTCAGGGGGAATAAGGTCTTTTAGATTAACAAATTCATCATCCCAAATTTTCGATCTTAATTTGTGGTTTACATGGTGGTCGATTGAAGTTCTGGGAATGTTATTACCTTGCTCCGGAATCCGGAAATTGGGGTGGGGCATACGTGAAGTCAGGTTGTGGCGTCTGATGTGCAAAATTTTGGTGGGACATTTGGTAAGGGGCGATGTATTGAGGGGGAAAAGGTTGGGGAGCATGGAATTGGATTGAGAGTAGGGGGATGGGTTGACGAGGAGACCCATGGCAGGGTTGGGAGGATAGGTTGGGCTAGTGAGGACCGAGGCTCATGGAGAATTGTCAGCAGTCATCACCATAATGTCATAGGGGTTATACTCTGTATTTAGAATCTGAGATATTTTTTTATAAGCATCTGATCTCCATCTGCCTAAAAGTCTGATTTGTGTTTCTGACATGCCGAGACTGGCTGTGAGTGTTGCTTCTCCTATCCTAAAGCTATGGCTTGTGATATTTAGGTGCAAAAGTTTTGCCGCCTTGACACAGTGCTCTAGGTATCTGTTGAAAGCCTACTTGGCACAGCGCTTCAGGTATCTGTTGAAATTCTGGCAACATTTGTGCAGGTATCTGCATTTGCCTTTATTGTAGTTTTAGCAGGTTTCTTGGGGACGAAAATTATCTAATTTTGGTGAACCTAAGGAGTGCCCATAAATGACTGGGTCTTTTTCCTCCCATTTTACTGACTCGCTGGCTCGTTTGAGGCAGAACTTTTCATCATAAGTCCTCCAGCTTACAACTTTACTACTAAAAAGGGTAATAACCCTATGTGCAAAATAGAAAGGGGGATGGCATGGGAGGCTTCTCTCAAGGCCCTGTTCACATCCCTGACGTAGTTGTTGTACCTGTCCTGGTCTGTCTTTGTTGGGAGGTATCCACAGCTTGGTGCCAATCTAAAGAGAAGCTGTCCTCAGAAAATCATAGCTTTGGAGTTGATTTCCTGTATTATCAGGATCAGAAGGGTTGCCTTGTCCAATATCTTCTGTACATCAAATGGGGAGCCTCTTACATTGTTGCCACCCACTTGGAGAAGGATGAGGTCCGAGTGTTTTGTTTTTTCCAGAAAGTCACTGCTGGACAGAAAGTGGTCCAGCTGGGCCCCACTTTTGCCATAAAAATGGATGTTAAATGTGGCTTGGTCAAGGTTGAGGTTGTGGGGGGACTAATGTTCTAATCTCTTAATTAGGCTATGGCCAGCTATCATGATGGTCATAGTGGTGAGAATAGGAGGCATGCAACAATCTAAAATATAATACACTAGGGTAGAGCCAAAGCTTCACCAGCCTTAATTTATAAATTCAGTTTATTTGAAAAGTAAAATTATTTGCTAGGTTTAATAATTATGTTTTTATATTGGGCATTAACTGGAGTCACCCATTTTTGAGCCTTCACTTATATTGTGCGTGCACCCCTATTGTTCAACATTTCTACAAACATTTTTTTCATTGGGTTTTATACTTTCTCGCTAGCACTCTCTCTGTGTGGCTTGTTTATTGAGAGGAGAAACTTCAGCGGTCAGGACCCTTAGTTTTGTTTTATCAGGATCTGAAGTAGTGGAATCTTTTTATTGTTCAAAATAAGCTCAGTTATGCTAAGTTTTGCTTTTGCTCTTTGTTTAGAAGTTGACGAATATTAACAATCTCTTCAGGTACAATTTTGGCCCCTACAGTTTGGAGGATATGAGAATCCAATGGTGTAGCAAGGAGGTTGAGGTGTTTACCTATTATTCCGCTGGTGGCCATCAATCCAGTTCCCAGGCCCACGACCATGGTGCACTTTTAAGCCCCCTTCAATTTGGAGGATGTATGCTCCCGATTTTGAAATACACATATGTACACACTGCAACAACAGCAATATAAAATAACATCAGTCAAACAGTGTACATATAATGGTCTTACCATGTGAAACAAATGTTTTATAAGTTACCTGTCAAATGGCAAGCATCATATTGCTATTTTTGTTCCTGTTGTGCCTTTCTGATATTTCTTAATGCTGTCTCCCCCACTGTTTTGTTCATCGTCTCTACTCTAGTTTCTATTTCTTTCTGACACTCAGATACAGTTGGCATATTTATGCCACTGGGCCCTGGCATGCCTTCGTCAGACTTTTCTCCATCACTAAGACACAAGTCTGTTGGGAGCACAGCTGTTTTCTCATGGGTTCCCAACTGCATATCGTAAGTCCATCTTTCAGTGGAGTAATATCTCCCGTACTCGCAGTCAGGGCTACCATAAGGAGTAGTATAGCAAGACTAACTCCATAGCCTCATTTAGCTTTGTAAAATATTGATGAAATGAGTCAAGTTCTTGGAATATACTTTTTTTTTCTCTCTGAAGAGCAGCTTACAAATTTCTAAGTGTTAACTTCAATACTGAAGTCACTGCTCTCATGAATTGCTGGTCCTCTGTTTTAGTGGAATATAAAATGGATCCATATAATTGTGTTCTATGAATATGCAAGAGTTCAGAATATGCAAGCTTGTCCATTGCAGTATATTGTTCAGTCCTAAGTATATACCGTTATTTCAAGTACATTTAGATATGCATGAACACGTCCAGTGTGGCATAGTTCATTCTGGTAGTAGTGGTTCCAAACCGTTCCTTTAAAGTTTAGCCATGGATTTTGAAGTTATGGTGACCAGCACATCCTGGATGGTGTTGTACGCTAGTGGTGACAAGGGGAGGTGTCTGTATATTGGAGTTAGGTCAGCCATTGTAAGGAATGCTATTTAAGGACATTCTGTACTTGCACGTTCCAGTTCCAGTCAGATGGGATAGAGCACTGGGTCACCAACCTCTGGTAGGGTAAAGGTTTGGCCATTATGCCTGTGAGTTTAAACAATATGGTCAGGAGGAAGCTGACCTCACAAACATAATATTGGGTTGCATCCAAGGATAAACAGTAGGTGTGGGAGCCATTGCTCCAACAATGGGATGGTTTCTATAAGCAACCTTGGTGTAGTCCGTTGGTAATACCTGCAAGGTGCTCGCCTGAAGCTTGGGAAAAGGATGTTGTTTTGCCCATATTTTGTGATTTCCTGCACTTGATGGGTGACTCTATGGGAAACTTACTTAACCCTGCACAGTACGTCCAGTTTTTTCTGGTGGGGTCACTTCCATTTTCCTGCATTACATCCGTGCATTTCAAGCATCTTCTGTTCTCCATTTTTCCTGCATTAAGTTTCTCTACTGTCCATCTTCCTGGTGCGCTTGTAGCATTGTTTTTGTCAAACAGTTGCTGAAGAGAATTCGGGTTCATCTCTGTAGACCTCTAAAAAATGTCCTGGCGAGCTCGCCAATTGTTAAGTACCAACTTCGTTTGCTACTGTAAGATTATATCTGTCTTGGTCCTCTCTAGTCGGCAAGTACCCTCAGCTGGGGGAGGATCTGTATAGCAGTTGGCCCCAGAAGATTGTGATGTAGGGAAAGCGCTCCAGAATCCTAAGGTTCAGTGTTGCGATCTTGTCCATCATCTTTGGTGGGTCAAATGGTGATCCCCTCACGTCGTTTCCTCTGACTTGGAACAGAAGCACATCAGTCATCCTTAGGGTGTGGAAAAAGTCCTCACTCTGAAGAAAGTGTTCGATGCGAGTCCCTCTCTTTTCATAAAAGATGACATGGTACTGTGAAGGGTCCAGGTTGAGGTTGGGCGGGGAATCGTGTTCTAAACTTTTGATAAGACTATGCCCAGCTATGACAATTCTCATGTTGAAAGAGGCTAAGGAGTACACTAAGGTGTCTGAAAGAAATAGACTAGGATATAGGCATGCAATATCTATATGACTAATTATCTAGAGAACAGCAATATCACAGCATTTTTTTTTTTTTTTGTGCTTGTGTGTGTGTGCATGCATCGTGCATGCACGCTTGGGCGCCTATAAGTGCTGGCATGGTTGTAAGATAACAGGTGTCTGTTGATATGAGTTAAGAAAGGCTAAGCATGCAGCTAATTTCCTGGCAAAATAAACCTTAGGCCATAAAGACTAACTATGTTTGACCATAAAGACTGTGATCTTAGAGACCTTGATGCCTCCAAGCCGCTAAGTGACCATCCGCCATGTGTTGTTAATTATCTGTTACGTAAGCGTAGAACGCTGGCGCCATGTTTGCTTCGTGTTATGCATAAGATATGCGAGTTTCAAAGCAGCGTATGTGGTGAATACAATGGGTACTGGTTTCCGTATCTCGAGTGTGCAAGTATTAAACAGCAATAACCTAACTTAGTGTCGGTGTTGTAACTAAGAGATGTATCGGCGTCAAAATTGAACTAAGCTTGATTATTGAGGAACGTTTGCCATATTGGATGACTAAATTATGAAGCCGAGTATATGAACCTCCTTTAGCTAAGCGAAAATAACCAACCTGACTGATGTTTACGTCAAAAGGCCATAAAGTACTGTCGGCACAACTTTAAAAGGGATCCCTGTCACAAAAGGAGGTGACGTAGGAAATACTGCGGGAAAAATTCCCTTGTGCGTACCTCGCTGGATAAAGTTTTGAAAACGCGGCATATACAGCACGCTGTTTTCTACTACGCGTATAGTGTAATAGCTAATCTAGTCTGCAGAAAGTGCCGAGGGGATTTTAGCGGCCCAAAAATAAATCAAGGATTTGTCTCTTACCCTTACTTGGTGTTCTGGTACACTGGTCAAATTGGCAATTGTTGGTTGTATGCGTCTAGTCAGCTTTGTGGCAGGCTAGCAAGTGATATCCAGGGTATCGCCTCAATTAAACCTCGCTCTCTTTGGTCACGTGGTATTAAACTCGCGACGCGATTTGTTACATTGCTATGACTTATGATGTAATATTGTTTACAACGGTAGCTGCAGGAAGCGACTCAGCAGTGACCCCTTATCTTGATAAATCCGATTATGAACAGGCAATAATCTTTATTTAAGTTTTCTTTGAATATTATTTTAATTATTCTTGGATATTCTTAACAGTTATAAAATACCCAAAGTGGTATTTTACAAAAAGGTATTTCTGCTGCTGGGGAGACACTGGCTGGCACTGTCGTCTCCTTTTACTGGCCTTCATATATATGGACTTTCTAATCTGTTTTGTTAAACATGGGGCTTGTCAACGGGCGAGGCTGCGCGGGGGTGGTTACTGTTGCTGCTGTGCTGGGGACTGACAGCTGTGGGTTCCCCAGAGTGCTTGGGACTAGGTTGGATCCTGTGGCTGGGTGGGTGAAGTAGAGTCTGCTGGGTCCGGGTGTCATCGCGGAGGTAGCTACTGTTGCTGCTGGGTTGCAAGTTGACGGCCGAGGGTTCCCCGGAGTGCTTGGAACCAGGCTGGATGCTGGGGTTGGGTGCGTGACATAGGGGGTGCTGGGTCCAGGTGCCATTGCCCAAAACACTGCTTCTCCCAGTGATGGCAGACCTGGAGGCTGTTCCCAAAGTGGTATTTTACAAAAAGGTATTTCTGCTGCTAGGCAGACACTGGCTGGCACTGTTGTCTCCTTTTACTGGCCTTCATATATATGGACTTTCTAATCTGTTTTGTTGTGATATGGACTGTCAGTCTATCTTTGAATTTTTTGAATGGTTGGAGCATCTAATTCTTTTAGTTTTTCTTTGCATGCCTTAGCTTTAACTTGGAATATTTCTTATAAGCCCCCTGTTGGGCAGTGTAGTCATGCTGAGTGCTCCATGCACCAGGGATGTTCCTTCTCCCAGGCAGCCTAAAAGGACCGCTGCCTACTTAATTTACAGTCCCTCTTCAAATGTGTTTGGAAAATAATGCTTAATAATATGCGGAATAACTTATCCTCATTCCCACCATAGAGATTTGTCCCTGTATTTAATCGCACCATTAATCAAAAATCAAAAGTAAAGTGGCAATGCATATTGCTTTAATGTTACACAAACATAAACCAAGTACTGTCTTTACAAAGGATATTATTTGCTTTAATCAACTGGGGAAATATAAGTGCAATTTTACATATGCTTTCTTGCGACTAAACACAAGCAAAACTTGGTGTAGACAAGTGGCAGCAAGACATAGTTGCCACCAGATTTCAGTTCTCCAAAAAGGGTGGAGGTAGAAATGTTACATAAAATTTGATTGGTTTGGACATGTAGGGATTCCCCCTATGATCCAATGGCAGGTTTCTTGTACACTTCATAACTCTCTGTACTTTTAACCACTGCAACCGCATGATGGGGACTAGGACTGATAGTAGGGTGTTGGGGTGAAAATACAGAAAAGCTCATGACACACATATTAGATTTTCTAGATATAGTGGTTCCATCACCACAGAATTTAACCTTGAAACTTGGCCTACTACCACATGCAATATCAGGATTGTCAGCCAGATAGGATTTGATGACAAAAGTAAGCTCAGATTTAACATCTGTCTCATCCCCATCATGTGGTCCTGGAGTGTTTTGCACGTGACAAATCACATTCCTCTCCTTACGTATTTGTTTGACGGGGGTTGTTATCGTCAATATTTAATTTGTATTCTTTTTCACGGATATGTGCTAAGATGCTTCTGTACATGTCAGCTGAAGTGCTGGTATCAAAGGAATGGTAGTCCTAATAACATAAGTCTGACTGGACAATGCTGGGAATGCAAGTCCTAGGGCATACTGTAAAGTTTACACCTTACAATGCACAACGGAACGCAAGATTATCAAGCCCGGCCGCACGGTGTTGAGTTGGCGCGGTCTTCTTCAGTAACAAAATGATCACTTGAGTAAATACACTTTTATTCCTACATCAGTCTTGTCTTGGCTATAAAGTTCAGTAACCAGTGGTACTACAATAGTGCTGCTAAATCAGAGAGCTTAAATACAATAATATAGAATGAATAAATGAGTACTGGCTAAGGGAAAATCCCTGCTTTATATATACTTAAGTTAGTAATTTAAAAGAACTTATCTTCTACCATTGTCACGCCAAGCTATTAACGTGACAAATGTACCGAGGTTGGAACCCCAGGCCGGACTCATCCGAGCCCCGGACACTGGGAGGGGAAGACTGGGTTAGGTCACTTAAAGGGTTATTTCTGTGCCGTCCTCTCATTAGCGTCATGGTTGATTGGTGGTCAAGGTTCATTTATCAGCTAAATGATTTTCTAATTAGTGCCTAAAGCAGGTACTTGTCTAAAGGGCTGAATAAATGAAAATCATTAAAAATTTAATTTTGCCGAAAAGGAAATGGTCTTTCTTAATGATTTGGTCAACACACACTTGAATGAATAACTAATGTGGTTTTCTAGATTACCGAAAATGTTGCGTAATGTTTCAGATCAAGGAGGCACATACTTTACAATACGTTGCTAGGAATGGAAGTCCTAGGACATGCATTATTAGGATTCCATGTCCATCTTTCCTAATGCTGTTCCCATATAAACTCTTTAAAGCTTACTTCTGTACTTGAATCTATGTAGAAAAGAGAACAAGTTTTATATTAAAAAAAAAACATCCCTACAGAGAATATAAAGATAATTTACATGATCCAGTAAAAAAAAGGGATTTTGCTTATGAAATGGGAGAATTTAGAATTGCCAATGGCCCTTTAAAATAATGGGCCACTTTTGCAAACATGGGTCAATGAGAAAATGTAGAAAAATATTCTATTCACACAAACACCCGAATTATATGAAACAATCGAATACTGTGTCCCGACTTCTTGAAGGAAACTGTCGCATTGACTTCTGGGGAGGATTCTAACACAAGACTATTTCTGTCTTAAAGTTGACTTCTTTATTCTCCTTTTATTGTACTTCTCAGTGGTTGCTGTCTCTCTCTCTCTCTCTCTGCTATCTCTGTATGTCTGTACCTACTGCTATATCTCTCTCTTGCCACCTTACAAATCACTGTCAACTACCGCTAACTTAAACTCTGTTGGTTAGTATCTAAGTTAAGAACACACCCATCCAGAAGTAGGGGTCCCCCCAGGGTCCCCATACTTCCTGACAGGAAGCGTCTTATCTATTCTATTCTATCCAATCTACTGTACATCCCCTTTCCTGTCTACCGTCCCCGTTCTGTCTACATCCTGTTGTCTATCTATGTTTCATCTATGTAAATGTGAATTGCACTAGTTCTCTATCTATTGCACAAGATTTAATTATATTTGAAAAAGTAAAAATCTATCACTATGATATGACCCTCCACCTCTTTTTAATTGGTCCTCCAATTTAAGTATAAAAATCTATCACGGATCCTTAAGTGAAATTAAATTGTACAGTATATCATATGTATATATATCAATGTGTATAAAAAGCTTGTACATGTCAATATAATATTGAGGAAATTCTATTAGTTCATATATTATATATGTCCTTGTGTTTTCAAGTCCAATATGCTTTAGCCTGTACTCATTAGGCTCATTACATGTACATACATAAGTCTTTTTAATAAATTCATAATATGTATAGTAATTGTCAGTTCCTAGGAACAAACCCTGTATGGTGAAACGTGCTAGTGTCCGCTGTCTGTGCCACAGTCAGCAGTGGGAAACCATCACTTTTCAAAGATCTATTCTCATGAAATCATGGCAGCAAGTTATTCAATAGGCAAGAAAAATGTTTAGGTATGGAAGATGGCAAAAGTGAGAGCATTGGTGCATGCATGATTGCAGGTCTAAACTGTCTATGTAAAAAGTTTGATCTGGCTTGTTTGTAGCAAAGTATTGTGGTATGTCAATTAAATGTGTACTTTGAGTTGTGCTGTTGATGACGGGGACTGGAAATGATTTTGCAGAATAAACAGTAAATTGTTGGACAAAGGGAGTCAGTGGAATTGGCAGGGTGATCAAAATCTTGTTTCTGTGTTTGCTAACTGTTGGGTGTGATGTAGAATAGACATGCTGTATATTTGGATATGCAATTTTAAGGTGGTGTTTGATAACTTGTTTTGAATGCTGTTGAGAATGTTGTTCAGATCATGAGGGGGAACAAGAAGAGGTGACAGTTTGCCTAACAAGAGATCATTAAATCCTAGTTAAAATTTGTGAATTTCATTGGAAAGTTTTGTTGCAAGTGTAGATTGGTGAAAAAGTTTGGCCAGAGCTAGTGATGTAAAGTGAATTTCATTTTCGATAATTTTTACATCTTTTCCTAAAGTTTGTGCCATGTTATGGTTGTCAGAAATAAGGGACATAATTTTTAAAGTATAAAAATCTATCGCTTTGATAATTCTGCTTCTCATGTGATCTCATATTATGCACACAAATTCAAATTGCAGAAACATACATTGTATATGTATGACAACAGGATAACTTTGGTAAAATTGGTGCAATAAAGACCATATTTCAACTTGGGCTGTTTCTTTGAAATGCTCCTGTAAGATACACAATATTATGTAAAACTGGTTCCATTGTGTTAATTATCATGGATTTATACAGTTAAATGCTTGGTAAAAAAAATAATAATAAGAGCATATGGCTTTTACAGAAAGTGGTTTCAGATGAGGCCAATTTTCAAGTGTGAGCTGTAATAACATAACAATATTCACCAGAAGGTTAAAACAGTAGTTCAATTAGTTTCTTGTTATTTTCTTCCTTCTCCATTTTTTCTTTCAGGGGACCATTTCAGATAGTTCACCACTCTGTTTAACACTTCATTTTTTGTACAGGTATATTTTGATATCATGACGTCTGAAAAATGTTCTGTAAAAAATGTAGGCGTACATGTATTGAACGAACACTGGCACATGTGTATGTATAGGGCTTGTATATCTATGTATATCTTGGCTTATTGAGGGATTAATAAAAATGAGGTTAACATTGGGTGTTTAACTCCAGCCAAATGCAAAATGGTAAAACAATAGTTTTGAGCCTTTGCTGCATAAACTGGAGATGATAGATATTACTAGGGGTATTACCAAAGTGATTGGAACAAGTAAAGTTCAAATCATGTGGCATGCTAAGAACAAAGGAGCTAAGAGAGTTACAATTAGTTAATTACAACCTATTGTCTGCTAGTAAAAGTCATTTAGTACTTAGTCTGGAAGTCTTCTCTATCATATGTGTAATTGAATTAAAGTGACTACTCTGGCAACCCACCTGGCTGGAAAGCCAATGCTATTGTATACGTGAAGGTATAAAAAGATACAAATAAATGTAGGGGTTAGTAGTCGGTACTTAAGAGGACACTGTACACTGATCTCTAGACAGCAAAACTTGGTGTTATGTTGGTACTCATTATAAGACGCGCCTGATCGAATGTTTGTAACTTACAACAGTTTGTAGCAATTTACGCGCGTTTGTAATTTTGGACACACAATTTTCTTCAAAATATTTGTTACTCTTAAAAAGTTACAAGAATTTGTAAGTTACATCCTTTCCAGGATACGACCCCAGGCCTGTAACCTGTCCGTGAAAAAGAAAAAAGATCAAGATATATTATCGCTGGCTGAACGTTTTGCCTTTCTACAATTCACCTCTAAAATCTGTAATCAGCCATGGTTGATATTGTAACTATGGTATTGAATAACCACATTTTCGTCATCTTCATGGGCAGGTTTTGAAAAATATTTGACTCAATCTGCCTTCTTGCCAAATAAGATTTTAAGTAAATGATACGGTTTGGGGGTGAACAAGCATGACGACAGGGACAGACACAAACAGAATATAAACATACATTAACACTGCCTGTATATAAAGATAGCCGAAGTACTGCTTCCTTTATATTAACAAAGGCCTATAAACTTGATAATTTGTAAGTGGGTGCTAACGTAAATTGGGCCTAAGCGTCAAGTTGATAAAATAAAAATAAATCGCCATACTATTGAGGTGAAATAGAGCTCCCGACGGGGCCGTAGCGATAGTCCGAAGGTTCAATAGTCCGAAGGTTCATTGGTCCGAATGTTCACTATAGAAACTTCAGACCAATGAACCCATGATTAAAAAATCGATGAAAATGTTACCACTTTTCGGACCAATGAACCTTCGGACCAATGAACCTTCGGACTATCGAGACGCCCTCCTCCCGACTATATGGATTTGTGGCCTTCGTCATTACTATTTTCAATTACAAAATTAATAGGTCGGTGTGCACCTTCCTCTGCTTATTGTCCCTAATAAAGGCAGTGCTAGTCCATAGCTCCTTATCTCCATATCTTACTTGCGCCTGTTTGGATCCAGTTTATGTCAAAATTACAAAATTTGTTGACATCAGACCAAAATGACTGTCTATTTATCTAGAGACATATCTGTGAATATCTGTCGAAAATCAATCTGTCAAAATCACGATCTGAACTCAAGACAGGAAAAACTACTACACTGTTAAATAACATCTTAACATCGCCTTAAAGCTTTTGCAAACAAATTAATGATTTTGTGGTGCTTTATTGCTGATATCAAGATTTGATTATTAAAAATGTTTAGTAAATACATCTTTTTAGAGAATATACCAAACTTTTAGAAACTGGTGCGACGAAATGTTGTTTCTTTGAAATACTGTACAAACGGCAGGGGGCGTCTCGATAGTCCGAAGGTTCATTGGTCCGAAGGTTCATTGGTCCGAAAAGTGGTAGGCCTAACATTTTCATCGACTTTTTTAATCAAGGGTTCATTGGTCCGAAGGTTCTATAGTGAACATTCGGACCAATGAACCTTCGGACTATTGAACCTTCGGACTATCGCTACGGCCCCCAAACGGCATACGGCAAATGATTTTGTATTGAAGAGAAAAAGTACGCTTCATCTAGATTTTGTATAACTAGTATAAATTGCACACTTTTCTCCCTTTGTCCAAAATCATTTTCTTTGTGAATAACAAACAGAGCGTACTTATTATGAAAAAAATAGTAATAATAAAATTTAAGTTACAAAAGCAAGAAAAGGGATTTTATATGTAGGGCCTAATGGGCATAGGATCTTCATAACAAGTGTAGGTTAGTTGGTCAAAAGTCAGCTGAAAAGTCAGTGAAAAGTTGCCCATGCCCATTGATTCTCAACTGAAGATACACGTTCAGTCCACTAATTAAAAAACCGCGTAAGACGGCAGCTGAAACGATCTGTTCAGTTCCCTGCAAAAGGTTAGTCGAAATCGGTCATATACAGCTACGCTGGCTACATGTTCATATCTATACTATTATTTAGAAAATCAAAAAATTTCATCTGTGCCAGGTTTAATTCGACAGTCTGCCTAACATAACGTTAAACTGTAGCCGTAGCCTACGTATATTGGCAGGTAGGCAATGTCACGTTAGTTTGGCCTAAGGTTTTAATAAATATTGAATTCGTTTAAAAATACGTTATAGGTTTTGATAACATATTTTGCATTATGCTATTCTAATACCATATGCTTTATTAAGTCGCTTTATAAAGTGGATATCGGAATCATTAACCCATCGAAAATCGGTTTGGCAAATGGACTGGGGATTGTCTTGATAAGGCCTCGCTTTCAATAAGTAGGTCTATTCTTCCGGTATTTTTTATTCGGGTCCACGTCTCATCATACTGTAGAAGGATTTAAAATATGTACTCTTAAAACATTTCAAACAGCAGGTATTGTAAATAAGGGTAGGTAATAGATCGACCTATATTTCTAATTCAATTGTAACGGATCTTGGTTTTTTGTTTAGAAATATCCGTATGGAAATTTTAGTGATGGCTTTGTATTATTTGTAGACGGTATCTGTGTTTTCAATTACAGTCAGGTTGTCTACTAAAATCGGTACGATGCCATTTTATTGCTTTAAACGTACCGCAGGAAACTAGCCAAACAATGCACTACGTTATTTAACTCAATAATACTTCCAAATGCAAGTCTTAGATTTCCTAGGCTATGGTTTTTAATATTCAGTTGTCATTGTGGTGACGTTCTTTGATCAGTGGCCCTGCTTTTCAAATAAATTAGTTTTGAATATTATTAACTATATTCGATGTTCACCCTTATATTGCCTCCAGCCCTCATTAATTTGAATGGACTTGATATTTACATTACATAACTGAATTTAGAAAAAAAATTAAAAATAAGAATTGTAACTTTTTTTTTGGGGGGGGGGGGGGAGCTGCTGCTTCAGTACCAATTTGCTGTCCATGGTGAATTAATTACTGTTCTCAGGCGGCCTGCTGAGCATCATAAGAACAAAAAAAATTTTAAGATTTTTAAAATCACTCATGCCATTGTTACATTTTCCACGCCCCTAAACCAATCATTTATACCTCCAAATTTTTTTTAATGCAATCAGCCCATTACCTGTGATTACGACTACTAATTCTGGGTTTGTTTTACCTGGTAGGTTAGTAGGTTTCGATCAGGGGTAACTTTTTGTGACTGAAAAAATTTATATAAACTTTTTTAAACAAATTTTCCATTACTTCAGTTTAGCCTTTGCATTAGTCTGAAGTTGTCCAATTCATTTGTTAAAGGAAATAGATTCTTAAATGAGCTTATTAAGGGAGCAATGGTCATCCCATGCTTTCAGCATAGACATTTGTATTACAAGTGTGGTTGCACATGTATTTAATCAGTTAATATACTTTACTGTGAATTTTTAACAATTTTCTTAGTACAAAATATAAGATTATGGAAGACAGTAGTTTACTCACCCAAACATTTTGCTTGTATTTTATTCATCTCCCATCGCTCATTCCTAACCAACTTGTAACTACTCAGAAACCAAATTTGATGAATATTATTATTATTGGTTTGTGTTACAGTTTGAATGGAATTGTGAATATTTAAGACTGCAGATTGAAAAGATTTATCTTTAAATCCCCCCCCCCCAAAAAAAAGGGGGGGTAACATAAATGTTACATTTGATACCCATCACGCACTTATATTTGAGGACTTCTTAGATTAAGTCTGATCTATTATTTTTACTTTTTACACTTGGTGTGGTATATTGAGCTGCTTTCCTTTGCCTATTTTTAGTTTAATTTAGTTATTTTAACTTGTGGTGTTTTGGATTCACTTGTAGACACAGCTATGAATGGAAAACACACTGCTGGTTTGGGTGGTAGTGTTGCCCTGGTGAGTGGTACAAACTGTCAACTTTCTATATGGTGTTTTAATCTCTAGGAATTTGCTCTGACTTATAATTAGATTCAGCTTTGAATGTAATCTATAAATTGTTGTAGAATTTAAAAGAAAGCAACAATGCATATCAGTGGAGCTAGTTTCCCCTGAAAAGAAAAAGGAAAGGTGACTCAACCCTTTCCATGTCTACCCAGAAGTAAAATGAAGTCCACATTAATATGTTCATGTTCTCAGCACTGCAGTATTTTAAAAATTCATATAAAATAGAGAAAAGGGGGGTACATGGAGAGTAGAAAGTTATTGTTAAAGCTGTGTAATAAAATGTTTTCAAAAAAATTAGCAGTGTAACAATATTTTGTTTGAATCATTTTGTTTTAAAACTGACATTTAAATCTTTATTTTCAAGTCTGTATATATCTGAAATGCAATATTTCATAAATGATTTGGTAAGACAAATAATTCATGTTTAATTCATTACATAGCAATTCTGATGAAGTATACAAAATTCTGATGAAATGTTAGAAACTATTTTTATCATTCCTTTGGTTATGTCTTAGGGAACTATTCATCCATTTGGACCTCACAACAGCAGTAGAAATTCATTTTTGAAAATGGTTGCCAAGGAAATGGATTTTCTTATGGCAGAGCCCAAGGTTGGTTAATAACAGTATAGCTTAATAGTGATAAATAAAGTGTAGCAATCTCAGCATGGTTGTACATGTAATACTGGCTTACCAAATATAATAATGCACACATGTATATGTGATGTAACAAAAGTATTTCAAGATTAACTGGTATATACCAGAAGAATCCTGAAGGGTCCAGTGCAGTTATAATAAAAGAATTATTTGATTTATTTCAGGCAAGGAGGATCATTGCCTATGCAGCAGTTAATATTGTTTGTGTTTTCATTTTACTTCTTTGGTGTCACTCAACAAACAGCATGGGTAAGAATAGCTTTTTAGATTAGGAAAAAAACATTTACTTATAAATAAAACTTTAGAGCTGAAATGAATGTTACTTTGAGTTCTAGAATATATGAATAAAACAGGATGCACTAGTAATTGTGCCCAAAGTATCAGTGAAAATAATGCATTGGAATTTTCTCTTTGACATTTCATCTCTAACATTTCCCAAATCACAATAGATACTGTTAAAGGCCTCTTGCTAAAATTCATATTTCAATTTCATACTGTCTTTTTCAGCACTGACAGCTTACTCATATCTGGCAATATTTGATTTGCTGAGGTAAGTGTGGATATAGAAGAGTGATTTTGCTGAAAGGATACAGATATTTAAAGTGCAACATGTCCTGATCCTGAAACATAAAAAAAACTAAGCATGTTGTATCACAGCCATAGTCTACTGTTTCATGTTGTTGTTTTGCATTGTATATTGTATCAATACAGTTGTATGTTGACAATATTAGGAACCAATTTTATGATGGGATTGTTCATTTTTAGGTTGCTGACCGCACTGATAACCCTTTGGGTTCAGAAACAGGGTCCATCTTCTGTTTTTTCCTTTGGGTATGTATATATGCTCTCCTGTGGACCAGTCTTTATCACTCTGGGTCTGTTTAGCAAAGCTGTAACTGGCTCAGTGCCTTTGTTTTCCTCAGATGCAACATGTAGAGTAGAAGGGAATTAAGCTATAATGAAAATATGTTAGCTGGTACTTAATGCTAGGTAAAGCGTTCTTTGAATTCCAAATTTACCAGGATCATAGGTCAGTTGCCCATGTTATTTTATGAAATGTGATTTTTGGATCAAATTTGTAATTTAGTATAAGGAACAGCACAGAGGATATAGGAAGAAAACGTTTGAGAGAGCATGTCAGGATGCAGAATTTCAGTAAAAGAAAAATGAATGACTGTATTATGTGTTTCAGATATGAGCGTTTTGAGGTGTTAGCTGTGTTCTCAAGTACAATGTTGGCACAACTAGGGTCCTTCTTTATCATTAAAGAAAGGTAAGGATCTTATTTTTACAAGTAACACTGTTTTGCAAAACATATTGCAAAAAAAGGTGTGAATATGATTTATTTATAAGCAGTTTGACAGCAAAAAGTGTCAGGTTGTTAAAAAAAGTTTGATAATTTTGTGTTAAAGTTGTCTTCATATTTGTGTAAAGAAACAAGACACTGACAATCATGAATGTCATTTTCATCATCTGGGTATATTTATTGCACAATACATATTGTTTCAGTGTGGAAAGAATGATACAGCAACCAGATGTTCATGAGTAAGTATGCATTGGTTAGGTTAACTGTATAATTAGTTATATGCCAGGACCCAAGCCTGTCTACCTGCCTCCCTCCATCTGTCTCCGTCTGTCTCTCTCTCTCTCTCTGAAGCATATTGTGTGCACGTTTTTTGTTTTATATTCAGCACTGTTAACTTTATATATATAAGCATATATATATATATAAGCATGAGCAAGTATTATGGTACCTGATTATTTCAATAACTTGTGTGAAAATATTTTAAATTGTTGATTTTTTTAGAGGCAGGCTATTACTAGGAGCCTTGGTAGCTTTCTTGGTTCACATCTTCATGACATACAGTGTTGAAAACAAGGCATTCAACCATGTTGTGGAGGCTTCCAGTTCTAGTTGGCTTCAGGAACATGTAGCTGACATCAGTGAAGGGTGAGTTTGTTCTCTCACCACCAGTCATACCCAACATGCAGATTCTTCAGTAACCACAGTGCAGTGTATATAGACAAACAAATTTATTTTAAGACAATGAAGCAGCAGCTGCGGTTGCTTTAATTACATGTACGTAGTAGTGCTGCACAGGCCAAGCAGGACTGCTCTGAGGTTGATACTGTTTACAAAAAGAAAACGTTATTAGAGCATAAGTCATTTTTTTTATAATTGAGGTCAAAATGTGAAAAATAAGCTTTCTTCAAGAGTGGCGACATGTGGAGAGGAACCTGGGTTGAATGATTCATTTCAATTCGTTTTTCAGATTCTGTAAGGTGGTCCCTGGACTAAGCAGGCTGTTGCTACCTAGAATCAACCCCTTCGCTCTGATAGCATTTGCTGGGGCCACAGCTCTCTTTGTCACCTATGTTCTCATAGACATGTAGTAAGTGAGATACTTGTACTAGTAATATATCTTCTGTGGTCAGTTTCACAATAACACTGTAGACAGAAAGTAAGTCTCAAGTTTTTGGTTAAAATTTTGGTCTGCTTCAATTTAAAATAAATCTGCATTAATAGAGAAGCTGGCGAATTAAAACTGTAGCCACATGTTTCTTCTTATGAAGCAGCAACAATATTTCATTCAATTAGCACAACAATATTTCATTCAATTGGCACATTACAGATTTGTTTGGTTCAAATCAGACTAAGACTGGTTAAGTAAGACTAAAATTTTCAGTTGTGAACTTTCAAGAATTTTAATTTATTTAATCAAAAAGTTAAACATCCAAAGTCAGCTAAGCAATTTTATAAGACAGTTATCCTGGGAATAGTATTAACAGGGTATCTGTCTAGAGGACAACAATTTTATGCAATGTATAGTGTTGTCCATAGGATGGTCCTATCCAGTGTTGGTGAAACTGGACCCAGATAAACTTAATGTGCAGGGTTATATTTTGTTCTCCTTAGTAATTACCAAGCTGCAGACACCTGGGCAGCTATGTGTATCTCAGTGATGACGTTTGGCACCATGTTTCCCATGGCAGTTTACAGTGGGATGATCCTTTTACAGGTGAGACTAAGACTGCATTCAGAACAGATGATCAGCAGACTAACTGGTCCACAGATCAAATATGGCGGACCCCACTTGGAAGCGCTGTTGTATAATCCCTTAATGGTCTCCCTGCCTGATACAGAGCAGAATACTAGACACACATGGGAATATTGAATGGGGAACATTCTTTAGTATTTTGTCTTCGTATGTATCATATTTAACTCGTGGTTTCTTTTTCATGTTTTTGCTTTGAATATTATTGTTTACTTGTTTGCAGACCACCCCCACCTATGTGATTGGTCAGCTGGACAAATGCCTGAGAGAGGCCTCCACTCTTGATGGGGTTTTAGAGTTCAGAAATGAACATTTTTGGACTTTGTCATTTGGAAAACTGGTAAATAACAGATCTTTAGAAATAAGAGCAAAAATTCTTGTAGTAAATGTAATTTTNATACTGTCAGAAAATATCTCTGGGTCCGCTCATGTTATTGACCATTTCACCTGTTGTGCATGATTATAAAATTCAGTGTTGACTGATAGTGCTATTATAAGCATTATTTATTATTGCATCAAAATTAACAAAATGACCTTTTTTGCATCTTTATTTTCTGTTTTTTGTCTGTACATTTGACAGCTTTGCTGCCTTGTTAGATTTAAATACCGATAGATCCGATTTTTTACTGCTGTCCTATATATTTGCGTTCCTATAGATACGACGTCCTCATAAACCCACGTCCTTTAAATCCACATACCTATAGATCCACGTATTTTGAGATCCAAATACCGATAGATCCATTACAGGTATGCTTTTGCTCAAAATGGTTGGTATACTACTCAGTAATAAAATGCACTTCTTTAAAACGACAGTACACATATTAATCCTTTCAGCAATATATTATTCTACTAGATCGTTTTCACACAATACTCAGTGAAAGAACAAAAAGAACAGAAATGTGTTCTATATTTCACAACGCTTACTGTTCTAGCGTCAGAACACTGTTTAATGCGTTCTCAAAATGTAACATTCGAACACGTAAAAAGTGTTCTGAATTTACATGTAAATGCACGTGTTCTAAACAAAACAAAACAAAACAAAACAAAAAAGAACATAAAATGTGTTCTATATTTCACAACTCTCAGTGTTCTGGTGCCAGAACACTGTTTAAAGCGTTCTCAAAATGTAATATTTGCACACTTAAAATGTGTTCTGTTTCATTTTTACGACGCGTTCCCGAACTTTAGAGTGTGATAGACGTGTAGACGCGAACGTACATGTATGTCTTGTTTGAACACCTAATAAATATATAAATACATAAATAAATGAATAAATAATAAATATCAGGTTGTAATTAAGTCAGATCACTAAGTGGATCAGTATTCGCAGCCAGACTATCACTCGAAAGCCTCATACCTGTATCACAAGTTGATATCGGCCTTTTAGCCGATTACGATGTCAGATAGTTGGATCTAGCGGTACCTGGATCTAAAGATACGTGGGTTTATAGGAATCTGTTGGTGAATCTATCGGAACGTAAATTTAACGAGACGTAAATCTATTGAGACGTGTATGTATAGAGACGTATCTATCGGGACGAATATTTTATTGGGACGTTTATCTATATGGCGGACCCCCGTTAGGGTTGACATCAGACCAAAATGACAGTCTATTTATCTAGAGACATATCTGTGAATATCTGTCGAAAATCAATCTGTCGTAGTAGAGGGTATGTCAAAATCACGATCTGAACTCAAGACAGGGAAAACTACTACACTGTTAAATAACATCTTAACATCGCCTAAAAGCTTTTGCAAACAAATTAATGATTTTGTAGTGCTTTATTGCTGATATCAAGATTTGATTATTAAAAACGTTTAGTAAATCCATCTTTCTAGAGAATATACCAAACTTTTAGAAGGTGCGACGAAATGTTGTTTCTTTTAAATTAAATACTGTAGGCCTACAAACGGCATACGGCAAATGATTTTGTACTGATGAGAAAAAGTACGCTAGATTTTGTATAACTAGTATAAATCGTACACTTTTCTCCCTTTGTCCAAAATCATTTTCATAATGTGAATAACGAATGGAGCGTACTTATTATGAAAAAAAATAGCAATAATAAAATTGAAGTTAGGCCTACAAAAGCAAGAAAAGGGATTTTATATGTAGGGCCTAATGGGCACAGGATCTTCATAACAAGTGTAGGCTAGTTGGTCAAAAGTCAGCTGAAAAGTCAGTGAAAAGTTGCCCATGCCCATTGATTGTCAACTGAAGATACACGTAAAGTCCATTAATTAAAAAACCGCGTAAGACGGCAGCTGAAACGATCTGTTCAGAGCCCAGCAAAAGGTTAGTAGGCCTAGAAATCGGTCATATACAGCTACGCCGGCTACATGTTCATATATATACTATTATTTAGAAAATCAAAAAATTTAATCTGTGCCGGGTTTAATTCGACCAGGGAATTATATCGATATAATTCCCTGATTCGACAGTCTTAAACAGCAGGCCTAACATAACGTTAAACTATGGCAGGTAGGCAATGTAACGTTAGTTTGGCCTAATGTTTTAATTAATATTAAATTCGTTAAAAAAATACATAATCGGTTTTGATAACATATTTTGCATTATGTTATTCTAATACCACATGCTTTATTAAGTCGCTTTATAAGGTGGATGTTGGAATCATTAACCCATCGAAAATCGGTTTGGCAAAAATGGACTGGGATTGTCTTGATAAGGCCTCGCTTTCAATAAGTAGGTCTATTCTTCCGGTATTTTTCATTCAGGTCCACGTCTCATACTGTAGAAGGTTATAAAATATGTACTCTTAAAACATTTAAAACAGCAGGTATTGTAAATAAGGGTAGGTAATAGATCGACCTATATTTCTCATTCAATTGTAACGGATCTTGATTTTTTGTTTAGAAATATCCGTATGGAAATTTTAGTGATGGCATTGTATTATTTGTAGACGGCATCTGTGTTTTCAGTTACAGTCAGGTTGTCTACTAAAATCGGTACGATGCCATTTTATTGCTTTAAACGTACCGTAGAAAACTAGCCAAACAATGCATTACGTTATTTAACTCAATGATACTTCTAAATGCAAGTCTTAGATTTCCTAGGCTATGGATTTTAATATTCAGTTGTCATTGTGGTGATGTTCTTTCGTCAGTGGCCCTGCTTTTCAAATAAATTAGTTTTGAATATTATTAACTATATTCGATGTTCACCCTTACATTGCCTCCAGCCCTCATTAATTTGAATGGACTTGATATGTTCATCACATAACTGAATTTAGAAAAAAATTAAAAATCTAAGAATTGTTTCTTTTTTTTTTGGGGGGGGGGGGGGGAGCTGCTGCTTCAGTACAATTTGCTGTCCATGGTGATTTAATCACTGTTCTCAGGGGGCCTGCTGAGCATCATAAGAACAAAAAAAAAATTTAAGAATTTAAAAATCACTCATGCCATTGTTACATTTGCCACGCCCCTAAACCAATCATTTATACCTCCAAATTTTTTTTAATGCAATCAGCCCATTACCTGTGATTACGACTACTAATTCTGGGTTTGTTCTACCTGGTAGGTTAGTAGGTTTCGATCAGGGGTAACTTTTTGTGACTGAAAAAATTTATATAAACTTTTTTAAACAAATTTTCCATTACTTCAGTTTAGCCTTTGCATTAGTCTGAAGTTGTCCAATTCATTTGTTAAAGGAAATAGATTCTTAAATGAGCTTATTAAGGGAGCAATGGTCATCCCATGCTTACAGCATAGACATTTGTATTACAAGTGTGGTTGCACATGTATTTAATCAGTTAATATACTTTACTGTGAATTTTTAACAATTTTCTTAGTACAAAATATTAGATTATGGAAGACAGTAGTTTACTCACCCAAACATTTTGCTTGTATTTTATTCATCTCCCATCGCTCATTCCTAACCAACTTGTAACTACTCAGAAACCAAATTTGATGAATATTATTATTGGTTTGTGTTATAGTTTGAATGGAATTAAAATTGTGAATATTTAAGACTGCAGATTGAAAAGATTTATCTTTAAATTCACCCCCCCCCCCAAAAAAAAAAGGGGGGGTAACATAAATGTTACATTTGATACCCATCACGCACTTATATTTGAGGACTTCTTAGATTAAGTCTGATCTTTTTACTTTTTACACTTGGTGTGGTATATTGAGCTGCTTTCCTTTGCCTAGTTTTAGTTTAATTTAGTTATTTTAACTTGTGGTGTTTTGGATTCACTTGTAGACACAGCTATGAATGGAAAACACACTGCTGGTTTGGGTGGTAGTGTTGCCCTGGTGAGTGGTACAAACTGTCAACTTTCTATATGGTGTTTTAAAATTCTAGGAATTTGCTCTGACTTATAATTAAGCTTTGAATGTAATCTCTAAATTGCTGTAGAATTTAAAAGAAAGCAACAATGCATATCAGTGAAGCCAGTTTCCCCTGAAAAGAAAAAGGAAAGGTGGCTCAACCCTTCCTATATCAACTTGAAGAACAATGAAGTCCACATTAATATGTTCATGTTCTCAGCACTGCAGTATTTTCAAAATTTTAATAAAATAGAAAAAGGGTGGTATATGGAGAGCAAAAAATTATTTTTAATGCTGTGTAATAAAATGTTTTCAAAAAAAATAAATTAGTGGTGTAACAATATTTTGTTTGCATCTTTTTGTTTTAAAACTGACATTTAAATCTTTATTTTCTTATCTGTATATATCTGAAGCCCGATATTTCAAAAATGATTTGGCAAGACAAATAATTCATGTATAATTCATTACATAGCAATTCTGATAAAGTATACGAAATTCTGATGAAATGTTAGAAAATTATTTTTATCATTCCTTTTGTTATGTCTTAGGGAACTATTCATCCATTTGGACCTCACAACAGCAGTAGAAATTCATTTTTGAAAATGGTTGCCAAGGAAATGGATTTTCTTATGGCAGAGCCCAAGGTTGGTTAATAACAGTATAGCTTAATATTGATATATAAAGTGTGGCAATCTCAGAAAATGGTTGTACATGTAATACTGGCTTACCAAATATAAAAATGCACACGTGTATATGTGATGTAACAAAAGTATTTCAAGATTAACTAGTATATACTAGATGAATTCTGAAGGGTCCAGTGCAGATATAATAAAAGCATTATTTGATATATTTCAGGCAAGGAGGATCATTGCCTATGCAGCAGTTAATATTGTTTGTGTTTTCATTTTACTTCTTTGGTGTCACTCAACAAACAGCATGGGTAAGGAGCAGATTTTTAGATTAGGAAAAAAAAAATACTTATAAATAAAATTTAAGAACTGAAATGAATGCTACTTTGAGTTCTAGAATATATGAATAAAACAAAGTATCAGTGAAAATGATGCATTGGGATTTTGTCTTTGACATTTCATCTCTAACATTTCCCAAATCACAATAGATACTGTTAAATGCCTCTTGCTTAAATTCATATTTCAATTTCATACTGCCTTTTTCAGCACTGACAGCTTACTCATATTTGGCAATATTTGATTTGCTGAGGTAAGTGGATATAGAAGAGTGATCTTGCTGAAAGGATACAGATATTTAAAGTGCAACATGTCCTGGTTCTGAAACATAAAAAAAACTAAGCATGTTGTATCACAGCCATAGTCTACTGTTTCATGTTGTTGTTCTGCATTGTATATTGTATCAATACAGTTGTATGTTGACAATATTAGGAACCAATTTTATGATGGGATTGTTCATTTTTAGGTTGCTGACTGCACTGATAACCCTTTGGGTTCAGAAACAGGGTCCATCTTCTGTTTTTTCCTTTGGGTATGTATATATGCTCTCCTGTGGACCAGTCTTTATCACTCATGGTCTGCTTAGCAAAGCTGTAACTGGCTCAGTGCCATTGTTTTCCTCAGGTGCAACATGTAGAGTAGAAGGGAATTAAGCTATAATGAAAATATGTTAGCTGGTACTTAATGCTAGGTAAAGCGTTCTTTGAATTCCAAATTTACCAGGATCATAGGTCAGTTGCCCATGTTATTTTATGAAATGTGATTTTTGGATCAAATTTGTAATTTAGTATAAGTAACAGCACAGAGGATATAGGAAGAAAACGTTTGAGAGAGCATGTCAGGATGCAGAATTTCAGTAAAAGAAAAATGAATGACTGTATTATGTGTTACAGATATGAGCGTTTTGAGGTGTTAGCTGTGTTCTCAAGTACAATGTTGGCACAACTAGGGTCCTTCTTTATCATTAAAGAAAGGTAAGGATCTTATTTTTTACAAGTTACATTATTATTAGTCTGTTTTGGAAATATATATCGCAAAAAAAGGGCGTGAATATGATTTATTTAGAAGCAGTTTGACAGCAAAAAGTGTCAGGCTGTTTAAAAAAGTTTGATAATTTTGCGTTAAAGTTGTCTTTATATTTGTATAAAGAAACTAGACACTGACAATCATGAATTTCATTTCCATCATCATGGTATATTTATTTTACAATACATATTCTTTCAGTGTAGAAAGAATGATACAGCAACCAGATGTTCATGAGTAAGTATGCATTGATTAGGTTAACTGTATAATTAGTTATATGCCAGGACCCAAGCCTGTCTCCCTGCCTCCCTCCATCTGTCTCCGTCTGTCTCTCTCTCTCTGAAGCATATTGTGTGCACGTTTTTTGTTTTATATTCAGCACTGTTAACTTTATATATATATATAAGCATGAGCAAGTATTATGGTACCTGATTATTTCAATAACTTGTGTGAAAATATTTTAAATTGTTGATTTTTTTAGAGGCAGGCTATTACTAGGAGCCTTGGTAGCTTTCTTGGTTCACATCTTCATGACATACAGTGTTGAAAACAAGGCATTCAACCATGTTGTGGAGGCCTCCAGTTCTAGTTGGCTTCAGGAACATGTAGCTGACATCAGTGAAGGGTGAGTTTGTTCTCTCACCACCAGCCATACCCAACATGCAGATCCTTCAGTAACCACAGTGCAGTGTATATAGACAAACAAATTTATTTTAAGACAATGAAGCAGCAGCTGCGGTTGCTTTAATTACATGTACATAGTAGTGCTGCACAGGCCAAGCAGGACTGCTCTGAGGTTGATACTGTTTACAAAAAGAAAACGTTATTAGAGCATAAGTCATATTTTTTTTTTTTAAATTGAGGTCAAAAATGTGAAAAATAAGCTTTCTTCAAGAGTGGTGACATGCGGAGAGGAACCTGGGTTGAATGATTCATTTCAATTTGTTTTTCAGATTCTGTAAGGTGGTCCCTGGACTAAGCAGGCTGTTGCTACCTAGAATCAACCCCTTCGCTCTGATAGCATTTGCTGGGGCCACAGCTCTCTTTGTCACCTATGTTCTCATAGACATGTAGTAAGTGAGATACTTGTACAAGTAATATATCTTCTGCGGTCAGTTTCACAATAACACTGTAGACAGAAAGTAAGTCTCAAGTTTTTGGTTAAAATTTTGGTCTGCTTCAATTTAAAATAAATCTGCATTAATAGAGAAGCTGGTGAATTAAAACTGTAGCCACATGTTTCTACTTATGAAGCAGCAACAATATTTCATTCAATTAGCACAAAAATATTTCATTCAATTGGCACATTACAGATTTGTTTGGTTCAAATCAGACTAAGACTGGTTAAGTAAGACTAAAATTTTCAGTTGTGAACTTTCAAGAATTTTAATTTATTTAATCAAAAAGTTAAACATCCAAAGTCAGCTAACCAATTTTATAAGACAATTATCCTGGGAATAGTATTAACAGGGTATCTGTCTAGAGGACAACAGTTTTATGCAATGTATAGTGTTATCCATAGGATGGTCCTATCCAGTGTTGGTGAAACTGGACCCAGATAAACTTAATGTGCAGGTTTATATTTTGTTCTCCTCAGTAATTACCAAGCTGCAGACACCTGGGCAGCTATGTGTATCTCAGTGATGACATTTGGCACCATGTTTCCCATGGCTGTTTACAGTGGGATGATCCTTTTACAGGTGAGACTAAGGCTGCATTCAGAACAGATAATCAGCAGACTAACTGGTCCACAGGTCAAATATGGCCGACCCCACTTGGAAGCGATGTTGTATAATCCCTTAATGGCCTCGCTGCCTGACACAGAGCAGAATACTAGACACACATGGGAATATTGAATGGGGAACATTCTTTAGTATTTTGTCTTCGTATGTATCATATTTAACTCGTGGTTTCTTTTTCATGTTTTTGTTTTGAATATTATTGTTTACTTGTTTGCAGACCACCCCCACCTATGTGATTGGTCAGCTGGACAAATGCCTGAGAGAGGCCTCCACTCTTGATGGAGTTTTAGAGTTCAGAAATGAACATTTTTGGACTTTGTCATTTGGAAAACTGGTAAATAACAGATCTTTAGAAATAAGAGCAAAAATTCTTGTAGTAAATGTAATTTTCTTTACAAAATATTTGAAAATGGAATAAAGGTCAAGTCTCCACTTGATAAAGCTTTACTGAAATAATAACTAGAATAAATTATTTGCAAGTCCAGCTAAGAACTGCTTGTTATCAGTGCATTTGGGCAGTGGAATTCCCATTTTGTTAACCATTTGTAGTGAAATTCCCTTTTTTTATCAGGCTGGTTCTCTCCATGTAAGGATCAGACGTGATGCCCAAGAGCAGTTAGTACTGGCACATGTTTCCAGCAGGCTTTCCAACATAGTCTCAGATTTAACTGTTCAAGTCTTTAAAGATGATTGGACCAGACCCACAGCCTATCAAATCATCCACAACAGTCCGTTTCATTCAGAATCTTCATTATCAACAATAGGTGTAACACCACCTGTAAAACTTCCCCTGGGGTCAGAGACCAGTTCTATGGTCCCCCCAGGAATTCAGCCATTTACACCTTATAAAAGTGGACAGTATTACACCAGCACACCCATGGTGCCACAAGGCACTAGTGCTGCCATCTATGGTAGCAATCCTCCCTCAGCTTTTAACAAAACTGATTTTGCCACAGACAGTCTAACTCCTATACAAACTCCACAGAGTGGAAACATGGCAGGGGTTATTCCAGGGAAAAACTCTGTGCGACTGCAGCAAGGATACAGAACCCCAGACCCCAAGACTGGAGGGCTGAATTCAGAGTCTGTGACTTTGTATGCTCCAGGGACACAGAGGTGATGCAGAATAAATATGTAGTGCTGCAAATAATGATGAGATGTGTTAGTAGATGATAGTGGTTAGTTACCAGTAAACTCCAAGAATTCAGGGTGTCTGGATTTGACCTGTTACCACAGATATTATATGCTTTACACACATTTGTAGTTATAAAAAGTTGTGTATGGGTATATGTAGTTTGGTATACAACACTACAAGTATTGACTGTCATTTGTATATGCTATGAGAATTAGTCTTGTCTCAATAAATTTTGGGTGAGAATTGGAGTTAAAAGAATTAGTGCAATGGACAGATGCTTTTAAAAGTGAAAAGAATTGTGCATACAGCTTCAAAAAACTTTCAGTTCTTTGTAATATTTTTTAACGCACCTAGAAAATGTCAATTTGTGAGAAATGAAAATTTCACAAAAGTAAAAACTTGAAATCAGAGAAGAATCTCATCAGCTGTGTTACATACTAAGAGTTTAGTAATTTCCTCAATGAACAGCTGTAACAAATGCAATTTGTGTTAAAATAAGAAAATTTTCAATATTATCCTGTCAGTTGCCCTTGTTGAAGTTTGTTAGACATGGATGAATGTCATTTGATGAGCGTGGAATTGCAGTTTGGATTTAAGATCAAGGACATGCAAGAAAGGACTACATAGGTTGAGAACAAATGTAACGAATACACAATGACATAGCATAAATTTAATTTGCCTTAACATTTATTGTAAGAACAGTCAATTTTACAAAGCAAGAACACATTTCCGGACCTTAACTCTTTTATAACACTGCAAACACTAATAGTGTAAAACAAGTCTGATGAAAGTATAGTAGGAAAATGGGATAATGGCAATGACAATTTATCTGTGGGGCTCAATGCAGGCAGAGGTTCAAAAAGATTCTCCTTACAAAAATTAAATATAAATAAGCTATGCTCATCACTATTGTTATAACATACATTATGAAAATTTTAAGAAATAATTTTGTTTTTGAGAGGTAATCGTAACTGAGTTCGTGTTCAGCAGATGCCCCCAGATCATAGTGATAACTGATCCATCATGGTCCCTTGAGCTCACTTAGGTGATTGGTGTTACAAAAAAAGTCCATACATCAGATTAGTTCAGTCTTATTTTATCATCTCAACTTGCCAAGGTACCCTTCTATAATACTATTCAAATGCGCAGACAGTTCTCATGTACCTAAGGTAAGATAAAAAATCTGATACACTTAAATATTTAAGTGTAATATTGCACAACCAAGTGCAGAAACATAATAAGAGTGCAACAAACAGTTCTGTACATTTTATTTGCCCCAACACAGAGGGACATCTAAATCAAATCATTATCTAAACGAACTGTCCAACTCAACAGGAGCTGAAATTTCAAATCTTCCAAGGGCTGCTTCACCTTCATATCTCACTTAAAAAAGTCCTTTGGTAGTTTAAATATTCAGTATTACCTATAGTTTGGCAGAAGACCAATAATAAACTACTGTGTACAAATCCGCATACCATGTTTACCCATTGTTATAAAGAAGGGCTGGCACATTGAGGCCAGACTGAATCATGGATGCAGAAATATGACGTATCCAATAAATGAAATAAAAGAAAAATGAAGACTTTTTAATTGTTCCCTTCTTCATCTGAATAATAAAAGTCCTTTTCTTCCTCTGAGTCTTCATCAGAAACTTCTTTTACCTGGAAAATGTCTGACTGAGGCATTGTTGTGGTGGCAGTTCTAACAGGCTGGAATGAAAAAAAAAAGATGTGCATCGATTATGAATAATGCATAATAAGAGGTATATTATACACATATTTAAACTGACCATATGGTTTCAAATAGTACTGCCTTAAGAAATGCCACAGGGTTTCATTTCATTATTTCCTGAGATTGATTACACAGATGTTTTTACTTGCTTTCTGTGCTTTGGGACTTTATGGGAAATAGGTATGTCAAATTTATGACCAGAAATTTAAAGAAGGTGCACTTAAAAACTTTTTTTAATGCACAAAAAATAAATTTGAATTAATATATACATGTTACAGGTCATTTGCTGTCATTTCTTATGTCTCAGATAATCATAAAAATTGCCATTTATCAGCTAACAGCAATTCTGCAGTGAAATCAACACCAAGTTTACCAAAATGTAAGCTAGTCTTACCAACCACAAATAATGTGAACACTTCCAATTCATTCATGTCCACAGATTCTGAAGTGCAACAGCAAAACATGCAAAAAAAAAAAAAAAAAAAATTATTATACCTTTTTTTCCTGTTTGCTCTCTGTTTTCTGAAGCAAAAATCCTTTCTTTCCTCTCTTCAATTTGTTTATGTACTGATCTACTTCATTCCTAAGGTCAAACAAAATAAACAGTTGTCAAGAACACAGTATAAAGGACTACATACTTATGAAATTTCTTATTAGTGAATCAAATTCTTAATGCACTCTAATTCTATCTTATATTATCTTTTATTGGAAATAATAAAATTAAAAAAATATACCAATATATGTGAAAATAAGTTTTGAATGTCAATTTTAAATTAGAATGAGCATTAAAAAATTATTTTAAATTAATTTTTTATACCTGTTAACAGATTTCAGCAAGCCTGGGCTGACTAATGTTGAATGTGGTGTCTTCTTTTCCGACCTTGGTGCCCAACGTCTCCCAGTCTTGACCACTGGAGTGAAAAACTTGCCCTTGGCGCCACCTACACTTATGTTAGTTTCCTCTTCCTCTTCACTGCTGTCTCCTGGGGTGGGCAACTGGAACAACAATGACATTCTCTATAACTGTTGTATGACTCATTAAAGAGAGCAAAAATCAAATGGGGCTATTCCTGTTAAGTAAAAATGGGAGGATCCTTAAGATATTGATGATATTCAATAATCTGAAATTAAAAAGAAAAAACATGGAAGGTAAGGTTAAATTTTAAATGTAAATGGGTTAACTATAACAACCAAAGCAGGATAGGTGTCTTCTTTTTTCTTCACTCACCTTAACCTTTTTGGATTTTCTGAATGGTGTGGAGTCAAAGAAATCATCCTCATATCCATGCTCATGTTGTTGTATTAATTCTCGAAGTTGGCGTTTTCTCTTCATAGTGCCAACTTTACCAGTCAGTTCCACCTGTTGCTCCTTCACATCATCTGAAATAAAATGTGAACACAATTCTGTGATAGTTTAATGGTGAGGATTAAAGATGTATTTGAAGTCAAATTACTGCCACAAAACCCCACCAAATACTACCATATAGTTTCAAATAGTATCACCTAGAGAAATACCAAAGGACAATTTTTCAATATCCTGAAAAAGAATATTTGTACTATATAACCTTCAGTTGTTTTCACAGCTACATCCAAACAGCGTGCACAGCTACATCCAACGTTGAAGTGATGATTATACAATGCATGTGCAGTACCTCATGATTCAGTGGACTTTTACAAACTGGAGGGATGGGTAAACAGGCCTATTTCCAACCAGAAATGTGAAGGTGCAGCCATTTTTGGCTGATTAAGAAATTAACTTGGTTAATGACTTAGCATGTCGACTTAATTTTAGTATATTAGAAACTAGTAGAAGTGGTTTACATGCCTTCCTGGGAATCCACGCTCACTTCTAATGTAGCTTTAAAAAAAGCGAATAATATAGTGACAACTAGGAAATTGTTTGGACCCCTAAGTCAACATAGTCTGGAGCAGCCCTTTAACAAATGCTTCTGCATAGCAATGTGACACAAATGGTGTAACTTACTCTTTTTTTTCTTCTGTGACAGTGACTTCTCAGTGCTTGGCACCTCCTTCTGGTGGAACTGTTGACACTGGGAGGCAGAACGAGTTCCTACTTTCTGTGCAATCACGTGCCAGTAAAGATCAGTGCTAGGGGGGACAGTGTGGAGAGCTCTTTAAAAAAACAAGATAAAAGGTTTAATTCAGAACAGACTATTTGAAATTTTTTTCTATACTGCATGATACAGCATACCAATTTATTGTATTTCTACTACTGTAATATCAGCATTTTCAATACTCTCTCCAAAATTTCTGCATGAAAACCTTGCCTAATAATCATGGGGGCAAAAATACATGATGATATGCTCTTAAAAACTAAAAGCAAAACAACTTTTACCACAAAACACTAACACTACAACAAAAGAAAAATCCCCATCTACATCATGCATTAAGTTCCTGTACATAAAAAAGGGGATATCCGATACATTTTTGTGACCAAAATAATCCCCATTAGTGACTCATATTGACTTACGATTTCATCCCAATTTTTTTTTTTTCAATTTGGGTTTTAAAGAAATTACCCCAAGGTCACAATCTAGTAGATCCCCCAATTCTCAGAGAAGTCTTTAAAAAGCATTTACCTCTGAAGAGAATTAATTTCCTTCTGACTCCATTGTTCACTGGCATCACCATCCTCACAAGGGAAAGCTTTGCTTTGTGTGGTGTTCCGCCTCTCTCGATGACTGCCATTTTTTTTCTGAGCTCTACTCTCATGTATTTTTGTGGCAGTGTCAAACTGCCTTTCCTCACAGTTCCAGTCATTTGACCTGGTGCGCCTTTTGGACTTGCAAGCCTTAGCAGGAGCACTTCTTTTTGACAATGTCTTTTCTTCACTTCCTGTGCGTGAGTGTTTTTTCGTATTTGAACCACTGTCTTTATCAGGAGTCCATGCATCAGAATCATCACTATTATAATCAGTATTTTCAAAACACATTGTATAGTCAGCACCTTTGTTTGGTCTTGTTGATCTCTCTGCTATATTTTGTGTTATGCTCTTAGAAGTGCCCAGTAGTGCTTTGAGCTCTCTCTTCCCCACTTGGTTTTTCCTCTTTGAAGTTTTCAAAGATGCCCACCTTCCCCCTGGCTCAGTTTCAGAAGATATTTCAATGACCTCCATGTTGTCACTCTCCTTGCTGTGAGACTGCTTTACATTATTATCCTTCGGGGTACGTGTTCCAGAAGTTGAATTTGATGTATCTAACACACTGGAATAATCACCATGATCAGCTTGGCCATTTGAACTTTTCGGAGAAAAGTGTTCGTCTTGATTTTTATCAAAAGCTGATGTCTCTGATGCTAAATCTACTAGCACCACCCTGGGCCCCTTGCAGCTGTTATTGGTCCCTTCCAAATTTTTTTCTAATTTTGCTGCTTTGTTGTAACAAGTAGTCTTCTGCTCTGAATCAGGCTTGAAGCGCTTTGCTCTCTCTGTATTCAGCACTCCAAGTATATCAGCCTGCAGATCATATGACTCTATGTCAATGTTTCTACTGTCAGAAGATTGACCACTGGGTATATAGTCAGTTTGTTTTTTCCTGTTGGGTGTAAATACTTCACTGGACATGGTGTCGGCATCAGACACCATTTCAAGATCAATGTCTTTATCTTTTGTTGTTACTGTGCTGCTTTTTGTAGCTTTCACTTTTGATGATTTTTTTTCCAAAAAAACTCTTTTTCTTTCAATTGTTTCCTTACATTTTCATTTTTTGGGGACTCTTGATCCATGCTCTTTTCCTTGACCATGACTTGACCTCTGACCTTCCTTGAACCCTCTGACGCCTCATCTGTCACCACATCAGCTAGTCTGGAAAAGCTTTCTTCTGAGTCGCTGACTGTAGTACTGGGATCTGTAATAAACACACAGGGGAATCTAGTATATTACACAAAGAGGTGAAAATATAAGCCAGACTGCATAAGTCTAACGCTACATGGGATATGAAAATTAGTTCCAATTATACAAAGATTTACATTGGGCAATGTTAGCAATGTTAAACAAAATCAGTTCCAAAAGATTTCAGATAAACAATAATTTAAGTCATAAAGTGAGTTATAAGAGGCCTTCACAGTATGTATGATAAATCATGGCAAATTGACACATTCAAAAAATAATTTGATATCAAAAGTACAACCGAACTCATCCTCCAAATAGTTTCTTTGGTAAAATAAACTTAAAAGTTGTGTTTGGTAATTTGGTACCCAAAAGAGTTTATGAAAACTGTCAGGGGAGAGAGAGAGAGTGAGTTAAGAGAATATAAAAAGTGGTTACCTTCTTTATGTTTTTTCCCCTTTTCCAACAATCTCTTCTTCATCAGCTCCTTTAATCTAAGAGATCTCTGCAATAATTTCAAGTCAGTGTTAACCAATTGCAAATTACCATAACTTTTCCAGAATCTCCCTCTTAATTTGGCATCAAGAAAAAAATTAAATGAACGTAATAAACAACAAGAACTGTCACATGCACAGTTATATGTACTTATGATTGTGACTTCAACAACTTTTATAGTCAAAACAACAAGACCTTTACTAAGACCTACATAAGACAGGAATTTTTTTTTAATCTGAGACCATCTGAACAGCCAACAGAAATGACCCACTTACTTCATCAGTCTTAATGTTCACATGTCTAGAACTGCTGATACTGGTGTTCATGGCAGCTGAAGGGGGCGTGACCTCCACTAAGTCTAAGTCTGCCTGGGGAAAACTCTTCACGCGCTGACAAGCCCACCATGCTAACTGAGGAAACACACGACGTCCGCTGCGCGTGCGTGGCAAATCTTTGACATTAATGTCAGATGAATCTAGACAAAGAAAAGGTATAATTCATAAAATAATAACATTTGCAAATACAACTGTCAGTAACATATTTGGTATTCTTAAAATAATGATTAATATTTTAGTAAGTAGAAAAAATGCTTTATTCTGGTCAGGTCAATAATTCTATTAATACAAAGAAATATTGCACATTTTTTTCAATATTTCAATTTTACTTCCAACCTGTAAATACCCTAACCTTACCATGACAAGTTTCATCATAACTCACCTGATAATAATGAATGACTTTTGTTTTTCTGGGTTTTTTTGCTGTTTTTTGGGGTAGACTTAATCTCTTGAAATTTTTCAGGTTTCTTTGAACTTTTGCTTCTAAAAAAGAAGAAAAAAAAACAAAAATTACCTTCGNTAACTAACTACTGCTTTGTGAAACCGGCCCCAGAACAGCCAACAGAAATGACCCACTTACTTCATCAGTCTTAATGTTCACATGTCTAGAACTGCTGATACTGGTGTTCATGGCAGCTGAAGGGGGCGTGACCTCCACTAAGTCTAAGTCTGCCTGGGGAAAACTCTTCACGCGCTGACAAGCCCACCATGCTAACTGAGGAAACACACGACGTCCGCTGCGCGTGCGTGGCAAATCTTTGACATTAATGTCAGATGAATCTAGACAAAGAAAAGGTATAATTCATAAAATAATAACATTTGCAAATACAACTGTCAGTAACATATTTGGTATTCTTAAAATAATGATTAATATTTTAGTAAGTAGAAAAAATGCTTTTTTCTGGTCAGGTCAATAATTCTATTAATACAAAGAAATATTGCACATTTTTTTCAATATTTCAATTTTACTTCCAACCTGTAAATACCCTAACCTTACCATGACAAGTTTCATCATAACTCACCTGATAATAATGAATGACTTTTGTTTTTCTGGGTTTTTTTGCTGTTTTTTGGGGTAGACTTAATCTCTTGAAATTTTTCAGGTTTCTTTGAACTTTTGCTTCTAAACAAGAAGAAAAAAAAACAAAAATTACCTTCAGCACACTCATATGAGAATAAAAAGCATATTTTTGTCAACAAAATTATTAGTCTTGCAGTGAGCTCTATAACTTCAAATTTAATACTCAATAATCTATAAAGAACATAAGAAGTATAACTATTAACCAGTGAAACTTTTTACTGATAGATTTAAATGAAAATTATACATCATTTAATAATTAAGAGTTCAAAATCAGTGTGTTAGCTTCAAACACCTGTCTTCCTCTTCAAAGTGCTTGCTGATCACCTCCCTCCACTCAGAGGGAAAACCTTTTTTAAATGCATTCACTGTCTTCCGGGAGAAGCCTACAAACACAAGAGCGGATAAAACATTGGACATGACAACTTTCAAAAATCTTATGATTGATCCTTGAAATTACAAAACTTAGCCACGAAAGTCTACCTTTTAATTGCATTTAATATTTAGGCTGATAATTTCTTTATCCTTAGGACTCTTTCTTAACAGCTGATAAGGTAAGTCAAAACCAAGATTGTAGGCAGCAAACAAGACCAGAAATATATTTTACATCATACTTCAAAATTCAGTTTTTACTACACACTTCTAGTCTACTCAACATAAGTTTATTTAAGGTATAATAACTCCTCATTTTGGCAGGAAAAGTGCCATAAAACAGACTTTCCTGAGGTAAACCATAATGTTCTCATACTTACCAATGTTTAATGAATCCATTTCAACATTCAAATTAAAAAATTACCAAATAAATAGTGGTTTGAGCGGTGCACTGGTCAAAACCATAACTATATCATGCTATTCATTTGTAGTTTGTTAGCAAAGAATCATCCTTTCTCATAAGGGGACAAACATTCAAATGCAACAGCAGGTGTCCAGATAAAGGAGACGAAATAGTGCATGAATCAATCTATTATATAATGAAACACTTAAAACAAATATTCCAACCCAAAATGCCAAACTTTTTTTTTTTTTTTTTGAAATGGCCTACCTGCATCCAGAGTGTATTCCCTGTCTATGGGACCCACCAGTACATATTGGGACCCAGTGTTGGACTGAACTCGAGAGTTGCTCAAACGTTTTACTATGGCAGTGCTGTGCCAAAAGTCATCTTCTCTACCTCTGAAAACACACACAATGGGACCTTCATTAATCTTCTCAACATCTCTACACAGAAGTTACGCTTATTCCCTTTACAGCTAATAAAGTTGTATCGTGTTAGATTATGTTTACAAAAGGCATATAGAAACTATATCCTGGTCTGTTCTAATGCTACCTGGACTTTGTGTTTTGCCCATTTTCTTTTTGTTTTGACCATTTTAAAGTTCTGACTCAAAAACACAATAAAATCAATAAATTAATTATTTTCTCAACAAGTAATCTATGTTTGTCCAAGTCATGGTCACCGGCTCTCCTTTTCCTTATCTCTTCCTTAGTAAGCAGATTTACATAATCTACACAGGTCTATCACTGGACCATGTGTAGGCCACATCACTTACTCCACTTTCCCTTCTACAAATACACCTTTACAGGAATTTATGGGTCTGATGATCCACTCGGTGAGCACATACTCCTTTACTTTCTCTTTTGGCTGAAGAGTGAAATAGAATTGTAACCTATAAATTAGTTATATCCAATTGATATGAACTAAGATAATAGCATCAATAACTTAAGAGTAAATAATGGTATTTTTCTATACCCCTAAATGCTTTATATTCACTTATTGCTGTGCTACTACCTACAGTAAATCACAAACAAACTTCAAACTCTTTATTAACTTTTTTTCTTTTTCTCTAATTCAAATGAATTTAAAGCAAAACAGAAAGATGATAGGCTTGAGGTATTAGCTTCATTTTTATCCAAAGTGAAAGCTGGCACATACAACTATACAAACCATGGAGGTTGTGGGTGTTTCATGCAGAGTGTTAGATCTTGAAGATCGTGGTGTCACAGCAGGCGCTTCTTGCGTCTTCTTTTGTGCTAAAATATCATTCAAGTTTATTAGCCAGGAAAAGTCACAAGACTTAAAATAACAATATAATACTAATAAAGTTCATGAGTTTCTGAAACTGTGGTATTAAATTTGCTATTCAGGATTACAAATAATTCAAATGAAAATTGCATTGCAAAATTTTTTCTCCAGGCACAATTACATACAAAATTTATGCCCAGCCTCTGATTTCTTTGCTTTTTTGTGATCAAGCTGCACAGCATTCTTCTTGATTGTGTTGCCTTGGTTCCTGCTGCTGGGTGTATCAGTGTCAATATTCATCTCAGAGGATGCACTGGATCTCTTCTTCCGGGAGAAGGACTGGGCCCAGTTTTGTTGAGGTCTTTTAGGACTCTCAGTATCAGAATGAGTCTCTGCTATTGGAGAAACATGCTTTTTACTAAAGGGTTGCTTAGTCCTTTTTATTTGAGATCGATTTTTAGAAGTTTCCTCTTTAAAATCACTGTCCCTTTTTGTATATGTATCCATATCTACTTCTGGCGTAGACCGTCTGGACGTGGTCTTTTTTGGATTTGAATCTGTAAGTCCAGTCAATAAATCAACCTCATCCACCATATCTTCCTTGGCATCTTCCTCAAAAGTGCCACCTGTGTTTAAAAAAAATCCCACCAATTACTAGTCAATGAAACCTAGGGATGTTAAATTCATCAAAAAAGTAGAGGAGAACAAATGAGAAATCTACATTAATGTAGTTCTGATTTCAAGCTGCAACTGTTCTGGGTTTTTGTTTCATAACCCTAGATATAACATGATATGTAGGTCTACAGTTTATGGAGATCAATTGTCATCTGGTTGAGATAAGATATATATCAAATTTTCTGGACTTCCAATGGTGTTATTAACACATAACACAACAGTTCAGATGAATGCCTCATGCAGAGGGAGGAATGTTATCATAATTTTAGCTTTCTAAGTAAGTCCAGAAAGATAGTCAAGCAAATGTATGTAACTATACCACTTACCATTGTTTGAGTCACTTAAATCAGTTTCTGACTCTGAGGTGGAAAAGGTTTCGGCATCATTCTGTGTCCTTTGCTTGTCCACCTCATCATCTTCATGACTGTCACAACTTGGGTTCCTTACAGAAGTGCTGCTTTTAGATTGTACAACATCTTCAGCACCAATATCTTCTATTTCTGAACTCTCTTTATGTAGTGATAATCTCTCAAAAGTCTCAGGAGAACTGCACTGTCTTTCACCATTTTCGTCTGTGTAAGGTTTAAGCTCATCAATTTCATCTTCTATACCATCAGAAACATCAGAACCTTCCTCAGGTGCCTGAAGATCCAATACCTCGCTGTCCATGTCTACATTATTCAGTCTGTCAGCTTGGGATACCTGACTCACTTTACTACTCTCATAAGAATATCGACCACTACCAGCCTTTTTTACACCACTTTCATCTGGGCTTTCTCTTCCCTCCAGTTCTTCATTTTTCGACAACTCTTTAACTTTGTCCAACTCTTGAATCAACCTGCAAGGTCTTTTACTGTAACAAGACAAAGGACTTGTGTATTCAGGATAGTGATTTTCAGCACTGACATCCAGAGAGGTATCTCTTCTGTCTGGCATTCTACAGACAACCACCTGCTCATCCCTGATGGCCACAAACTCAGGGGTCAGACTTTTCAATGGCACATGTTTTCTAGGGGATCCAGGTGGGGTTGCGCTATCACAACTGTCTGGGAGATATGCATTCTGGTAGACAGGTGATGAAACTGTGTGAGATTGTGCACGAAAATGTGAAACAGACTCATGTGAATGGGAATCTTGACGGAAATCTCCCACAGAGCTGCCAGAGGAGTTAAGTGAAGGACCTGGGATGGCACTGACACTGCTGCTGTGAACAAAAGATGTACTTCTGTTTAAGGATGGTTGAATTGTGCTCGGATCATAATATGTAGTAACACTGGCAGGATCTGCTCCAATACTGTGTGGTCTGTTGATAAACACCTGAAAATAATAAATAAATTGGTTAAACTTTGTAAATTCCAAATTAAAGTTATATAAGCTACATAAGCTTCCTACTGCAGTCTAGTTCACACTGACACACAGTTGTCAGTAGTTGTAATATCATCTAAGGGATGTTATAATGACAGGCATACAAAGGTTAACTAATATCTATCAAATGTAGCTTACGTGAAAGTAAAAACTTGGCTTACTACTCCATCTTTCCCCCTGTAAATACCCAACAATTTAAGATAATCAACTTATGTTTTTTAGTACTGTCTAGGCTCCAAAATGGCAACAAGTACCAAAATTTAAGATACCCAAGGGAATAGAAAAATGAAATAATCAATAATTTTACAAACCTGTCTACACTCAAAATATCACTGAAAATTTTTTTAAAATTTGGAAATTGGTAGCATTACTGAGTGGGTGTTTCAAAAAAAAAAAAAAAAAAAGAAAGAAAATTCCAAGCCTTGAAAACTGTGATGTCCTCATAGCCTCTTACCTGTGTCTCAGCCCTATGCGTGTTTACCAGAGGAGTGCTTTGCGGTACAGGCACCTTAAGTATCCTAGGTGCAGGAGATATTACAGTAGGAGGTGGCTGAGCCAATTTTTCTGCATACAGCTGAAAAATAATGCCATATATGCTTTGTGGGTGAAATATTTCTACAATTACTCCATTTCCTGTTTAAAAATAATCATATAAATAAAAGGTTTACATTTAAAATAGAAATCATCTATTGTGTTATCAACAATCCCATTCAAACAGGCAATTTTAACATGGATAAAATCTAACCCCGGTGATGGAAATGACTTGATGAAGTAGATGGCTTGTATTATCTCCCCCTCCTCCTTTTCTTTTATTTATTTATTATTGTTGTAATTTTTTTTTTACGTTTCTTCTCTGGAATCCACAGCAAGAACAAATTTAATCTACTGTGTAACTTTGCTGCTCAAACCACGTCTATTTTTCACAAGATATATGGTATATTTACAGTATTAAAATGGTTACTTTTACTTTCTTTTCAGAACAAAATTTAAGATCTTAAACATGTTAGCCTAGTTAAATAAACCATTTTTTTTTTTGCTTGACTTATCTGAACACAAGAAGTAAATTTTGATCACATTTTAACAGTGAATGCCATGTATTTATGTTGCTTAAATCAAATTCAGTTCCTCCTAATGAATCTTGCAGTCAAACTTAAGGACTTTTTAATTTTCTCAGGATGCTACACAGTGCAAGCATCAGGAAAGGAGGGTCAAAGATTAGTAAGTCAGAGAAAAATAACATTTACCCCAGGAGATTTAGCATAAAGTTTTTGTGGGAAAATATAACACTGTGCAACTTTAAATATATATATTTTCTCAAATGGACTTCTCAGAAACCTGCTATGTCCAGCATATGTATAAAAAAATTGGCCAACCTGTGCTATCGGGCTGGCTACATATATGTTTTCTACCATGGATGTCCTTTTCTGTCCAAATGCTGCTGGGCATCTTTCTTTGCTGGTATTATACATACTCTCATACAATGTGACCAACTTTCTCTGGCTTTCAACTAGGTAGGGGTGTCCATTAGAATGCATCTGGAACAATTTAAGAACAACATATATATTGTTATTATTGCCAATATTGGCATTTGACGTAAAACAGTTAAGGTAAAGGGTTTTACAACAGGATATACATGATATTTCTTTTGATCTAATGTGGAAATGAATCCTGGACATAATTGAATTCCTCAACATTCATAGTCCAAATTTCGATAAAATGAACTGTAGAGGATACGGAAAAGGTGACTTTCAAGGTCTTTTCTAGACGCAATCCAAGAAACACAATATTCTCTTATTTACGAACTAAACCAGTTTAAATCGATTCAAGTTTGTCGAAAATTGAAAAGCTAAATTATTATAAGGGTGAGAAAGTTATAAAATCCAACGCCAGCGCACAGAACATAAATCCCATACACTGCACTTACCCTGGAGATAATTAATTTACAGTCAGCAACATAATGAAAAAATGGTATCCACAGTAAATAGTTGTAAAACACGTCGAAACTAACACAGACGTGTTTGCACAAACCGCCATAACCGGTCTCGATACGATAGATGGCGCTTTGTGTATGCACCTGAAAACGAGGTCAAATCCAGAAGTTGGAACTTGTTGAGAACCGACCAGGGAAGAATGGTGCTTGAAAACCAACCCAAAGCAACCGAAGTTTAGTTGTGTTTTGCATGAATAAAGTTTGAAGGTAAAAATCAGGAATTCATTGAAACAACTAGCTGACACTGTCAAAACTCTGGCGTGATCGCTCTAACTGTGGCAGACCCACACTCACCTGGCACAATGCAACAGTTGCAACTGGCATGTACTTGTACAACATACCGGGTACAACATAACTTAAGCCAGATGCCAGGTGAGACAGTGGACAAGACGATGGGCGGTATAAGCATGCTTTTAAGAAACGTTTTATATTGTATAGTGTGGATATAATGATTCAAGTGTGTTGTTTAACATCATTGAATTTACTTGTACCGTAAATGTACAGTAACTGTCACGTACAGTAGTCAGCCANCACAGAACATAAATCCCATACACTGCACTTACCCTGGAGATAATTAATTTACAGTCAGCAACATAATGAAAAAATGGTATCCACAGTAAATAGTTGTAAAACACGTCGAAACTAACACAGACGTGTTTGCACAAACCGCCATAACCGGTCTCGATACGATAGATGGCGCTTTGTGTATGCACCTGAAAACGAGGTCAAATCCAGAAGTTGGAACTTGTTGAGAACCGACCAGGGAAGAATGGTGCTTGAAAACCAACCCAAAGCAACCGAAGTTTAGTTGTGTTTTGCATGAATAAAGTTTGAAGGTAAAAATCAGGAATTCATTGAAACAACTAGCTGACACTGTCAAAACTCTGGCGTGATCGCTCTAACTGTGGCAGACCCACACTCACCTGGCACAATGCAACAGTTGCAACTGGCATGTACTTGTACAACATACCGGGTACAACATAACTTAAGCCAGATGCCAGGTGAGACAGTGGACAAGACGATGGGCGGTATAAGCATGCTTTTAAGAAACGTTTTATATTGTATAGTGTGGATATAATGATTCAAGTGTGTTGTTTAACATCATTGAATTTACTTGTACCGTAAATGTACAGTAACTGTCACGTACAGTAGTCAGCCTGAAATTTCACCTCCTCTTGTTGGATATTATTCAATGTCTGTGGTTGCACAAAAGTATTATTATTTTTATTTTATTATTTTTATTATTTTTTGTATGTGTTATGGCAATATAAATAAATAATGATCTTTCAGATAAAGATTAAGTGGACCTATTAAATTGTCACCATTATGAAGAGGATACTCCTTGTTGGTGGTGGTCTCACAGCGGCCTCCACTGCCTCTTTGCTCAGACAGTCTTTAGGACAGCAAGCTGAGCTGGTGCTTTGGGATAAGGCTAGGGGAGCAGGTAACCATACTTATTTTGTATTGTATCTTATTACATTCTGCTACATTGTATATATTTCTGATGAGCTGTAGGAGTGAAAGATTACATAAAAGGAAAAAATGTACATGTACATGTTACTGTGGGGTATTTCCTTCAGTTAACTACGGGGTATTGCCATTTGGTAACACTGAGATATATAAGTAATAACATTCTATTCAAGTGGACCACTGCCTTCAGTTAAGTAAGGTAATGCATTCATGTAACTGTGCATGCATTCATATTACTTTCAGGTAAATGTCAGGTATTGCCTACTGGGTAATGAAAAGTGTTACCTCTGTGCTTATTCAAATTCTTATGCAAAACATTCTCAACTCTTTTGTGTCCAGGTGGCCGAATGAGCACCAGTAGAAGTCCTAATGATGGGGTGTGTACTGCAGATCTTGGAGCACAGTACATTACAGCCACACCAAGCTATGCTGAAAGTCACAAGAAGTAAGGGGATAGGGATAGGATTAACTTCCATTGGCTTAAATCTACCTTTTTCTCTGTATTTGTGTCAGATTGAGAAGGCAAATTGCCAGTTATACCTTCCTGAAATTTTTATGCAAATTGAAAAGGCAAGGAGTGCAAGTAACCATTCACTGAATTCAAGTAAATTGTATTATCAGACTTTACGAAAGGTCAAAAAATCTGTCAGACATTCGGTCTGCCAAGCTTGAAAATTCTGTCACCGAAACAAAATCTGTCAGACCGAAGTAAAATAATAGAAATATGAACCATTATACATGTTTTCATGTGTATTTTCTAATGTTTTAAATAATTGACATTAAATCAAATATTAAATTTTTGATATATATTTATTTGGAAAAAAGTAAAATAAGAAAGAAAAACAACAACAACAAAAAAAAAAAATAGGCAAAAAATTACTTGCATAACAAGTTTTTTATTTAATGAAAAAGACATTGAGGAATGACACAAGGACTAAAAACAATACAAGTATGAAGAATGTGTAGCTAGTAATATCAAATGTATGTCCATAAAAACGTCCGTTAATCAGATAACCATTTCACACGTTTTTGGCAATAACATATGCATTTTGAAACAGCACAGTAAGGCGGTCTCTTTCATCCAATTGAAGCTTTGACAGGGACTGTCCAGCCCGAGTCTAAGTCCCTTCTTCACTTTATTTCTTTTTTTATAAAAAGAAACTCAAACTGTGAGCTTTTCTCAAGTTCATGTGCACTTTCTCCAACTCGTGGTGAACGGTACATGCAAATATGTACATATGTTCCATAATTTAAGAACCCGTAATAAAACTGTAACATTTATGTTGCTATTGATCAAAATGATAACTTAAGTACTCCTGACACTTGGCTCACACTATTTTCCTCTCCTACAGATCATAAGTCCGCCAGGGCCTACCTTCTTTCCAATTTTAGTAAACTTCCGTTTCTCTTCCTCACTTCGTTTTCATTTTTGCCACGCATAAGGTCCGACGACACAGGATTTTTTATCGGACCAAGACAAAATTTGCCAGGCATGTCCGACGGTCCGACGCCTTTCGTAAAGTCTGTATTATCAAAGTTGGAACTTGATAGATAGATGGTGAGCAAGCTATATGTATTTTTTATCACCACCGAATACAAATGCATATCCTTTGATAGTGGCACATAACATTTTGAACAATATCTAACCAGTGACAATGAACCTGTTATTTAGTTCATAAAGTGTAAGTTAAAACTACTTCATGCGAGTCATTCATGAGTTACATATATTTTCTGTGACTGATGTTTTGATATTTTAGACATGTATGGTAAATTGATATATTGTATGATCTAATAAATATGTATTGCATGAGGTAATATAATAAGATGTAGATGTCATTAATTGCTGGTTAATGCTTACAATATTCACACCTTTTGTATTTAGATTCTACAATGACTTAATCAACAGCGGGGTGTTAATGCCATTAAAAGATAGCATAGAGGGGGAAAGGGACCATCCTGAAGGTACCAGCCACTATGTCACACCTCATGGCATCAGCTCCATAGTGAAACACTTTCTGAGTGTAGCAAGTGAGTATTATGTTATGGACCTATTGATATAGCTTGGCAAGGTTGTCAGCATTTTATGTGTAAATTGTTTGTGTAATTAACAAAAAGAAAATTAAATTAAAACAAGGGGAATGGATAGTCAAGGAGAAAAAGAAAAACTAGAAACAGAATGATGTGCATAAATGAGTAGAACTTGAAACCATGCTAATGTGTAGATATGACCCTAATAAGATATTTCAAAATTTGTCATTTATGTTTCATATAGATATGAAATATTTAACTGAAGTTTGCTTGTTTTATTTTATTAAATGTTCTTTAAAGATTATTGGACATCATTGATATTTCAACCACTAGATCTATCTTCATTTTAGATGCTGATGTTCAGTTTGGACATCACATTGTGGATGTAAGCCTTGATGGGACATCTTGGAAAATAACAACATCAAGTGGAAAATCAGAATTATTTAACTGTGTAGTTTTGACAATGCCTGTGCCACAAATCCTTCAACTCAAAGGAACAATAGCCGAAATAATAGGTATTTATTTGCACTACTCCTTGTCAGTATGAAGTGTGAGTACAATATGAGTGAAATGTTTGCTGCTGACACATTTTTTTCTGAAAATGGCTGAACTCTCGCCCTCAATTTTTGTTTTACTTGTATGATTATTTTGATAAAATAGTTCCAGATATAATTGCATTATTCTGTATCCCAGTATTTGTGAATAATAGATTTTTTTCCAGAAAAATCTCCTGAGCAGAAGCAGAAGTTAGAAAATGTCTCATACTCTTCTCGCTATGCCTTGGCATTATTCTACAAACCGGGAGTAAAATTAGAGATACCATGGACTGCCAAGTACTTCTATGATGGTCCTTGCATTAGGTTTATATCTGTTGATAACAGGAAGCGAGGAATAAGTAAGACTGATATTTGGCATTGAAGAATCAGTTGTATTGGATTATTCTATATAAATATATATATATATATATATATATATATATATATATATATATATATATACTAGCATACCATTATGTATGTTTTCTAAGAGAGATATAAAGAAAATGGAAATTAAAAGAAAAATGTTTTGTTTACTTCAGATATGAAAAGTTTGGGTTTTTTTAACACATATGGAAAAAGTTGCCATTTGTACATATATTTTTAATTAATTATTTAATTGTTACAATATCTCATTAAATGTTTCAATTATTTATATTTATTTCTATTATTTTTAATGTTCCTCCATTACAGCTGACCCAAGTGTAGGAGAATCAATTATAGTCCACACCAGTGTCCCCTTTGGTTTAAAACACTTAGAAAAAGAGCTTAAAGAGGTACAGCCAATAATTATGGAACACTTAAAGGAGTTTCTCCCAGACTTGCCTGAACCTGATAATATCAAATGTCAGAAGTGGAGGTATTCACAGGTAAGGACTAGTACCCAAACCTGAGGAAGGTTTGCCAGTGTTGAAGGACAAAGTACAAAAAGCATTGCTCATACTTTTTACATAATAGGGGAAGTTTTGATTGCCTGAGTATGAACACAAAAACTTTGAGGTCAGTAGTTCGTTATTTTGGTGACATGGGTAGTGCATTGTGGCATGGGTGAACAAAAACTTGCTCAGCTCACAAAGTAGTTTCCATTTCACATGAAATAAGCAGTCATGCAGCCATTTAAATCAATGGTTTGGTCTTATTTTATCAAAGAAAAAATTAAACATCAAGTTTCGATATATGTTTATAGAATATGAACTTGGTGCGTACATGACAGTTTTGATGAAGATTTCTCAAAATCTTAAGCTGCACTGTTCAAATACAAATTGAAAAAAAACAAGGGGTCATGGTGATCATAAAGTGATGGTGTTCCATAGTTCACAATTTTTACTTCATTCTTCATAGTTCATCATTTGTGAAACGACTCCTTTTGAAATTCAACAATTTTTTTAATGTAAAGATGTCAGGTCATGTGATGAGAACATGGACGTGTGTTTGAATCTAAGTTCCTTATTGGAATAGCAGGTCATGTATTTTTGGGTCTAAACACAAATTACTGATTAGTTGCTTGAGTGGGGAAGCATGCCCCTAAATTATGAGGGTCTACTGAGAAATCAGCTACTTAAAGCAGTCTACTCACACATGTTGCATACAACTGTAGGCTTTTATCCTTATTGATTTGTTGGTTGTCATCAAACTGCAACATGCTTTCCCTTTATTTCTTGAGATGATTGAAGTTTAGTTTATTAAGTCTGACCTAACACACTTCAGCAGTCTAATGGTAATTACTCAATCTTTTCAATGAGGGGTAAATTTGAATTTTACAGAAACTATTTTAAGCCATAATTTCGTAAAATTACAACATTTTTATTAAGTGGTGACAACAAAATTACAAAGCAAGCTACTCTGCAGTTAGTTCTATGCAGTAAAAGCACCACAAATGCTGTATGGAAGAAAACTTTTTGTGATTATAAAATTATGTATCTAAAAGTTTGATAATTTTTGCCCATTGAAAAGATTGAGCAATTACTTTCGGGTCTATTGCTGTTCAGGGGAAACAGGCTCAATGTTCACATTGAAATGGAAACCTATTAATTTATCATGTGTTAATGTAAAAAAAGTATTGCTCTGAAATGTAAGACCCTGTTTTATCCCTCTAGGGCTTGTTTCATAAAAGAAATAAAGCCTGAAAACTGGTCTAAACTTAAAGACCAAAAGTTTGGCCACATTGTCACCAGCTAAACCAGTACTAGTCCAGTTTAACATAATACTCCATCTGTTTTAAAAGTCTATTTTCTAAAAATCTATTTGCGGTATCTTGTGATCACGGTCTGTGCCCTGAATACCCCACGGCGTAATTACGGGCAGTGCGAGCCAGTTACTTCCAAAGCTGTAATTAATTCTCAGCGCTTCCAGTAATTACGCCACGGGGTATTCAGGGCACAGACCATGATCACAAGATACCACAAATAGATTTTTAGATTTTTAGAAAATAGATTTTTCACGTAAACGGTCCCTAACAGATCCGCAGATCAAATATGGCCTACCCACATTAAAGCTTGCCACATAATCCCCACAGGGAATCTATTCGGTATCTATTAGGGAATTATGCAGCAAGCTTTCAAGTTGGTTGGCCATATATGATCTGTGGATCTGTAAGTCCATTGACTTTTTTTTCTCTGAATGCACCCTTTGTGTTTTAGTGGACAACTATGGATTTGTTTTGACTTGAAATAAACCAAAATTTTGGTTTAAAAGTTTAGACCAATTTTAAGGCTTTTACAGTTAAGTGAAAGCAGGCCCCAGAATTCTTGTGCAATCAATGTCTGATATCTTGCCAACTGCTCAACCGTGCTTGGTTTCTCCTCAGGTTCATAAGCCAGTGGATGGAACTCCAGGATGTATGGTACTACACCAGAGCCCCCTGTTGGTGTGCGGTGGAGATGCATTTACTCATTCCAATATGGATGGATGTTTAGAGTCTGCATTGAAACTAACAGAAACAATATGCAAAAATGTCAGCAATGCTAAAGTATAGTTTGGGCACTTGTTAAAAATGATAATGTTCATGTATATGGTGCATTTTACCTGGAACATGTTGTTAACGGCCTATTGTTCTTTAAAACTATGAAATTATGTATCATTTTACATATTTCGAAAAAGGTCAGAACTGGTGTATAATCATTAAGAAAATGGCTTCAATTTACTCAGTTTTACTTAATATGAATTGTAATTTATTTGATAATCAGGTCAGAGAAGTTTACTTCTTTAAAATCCTATATTTAAAATGTATATTTAAAAATTGATTATTATTATTAGCTGTGAAAATAAACTTTATGATTAATTAATATGGTTTAACCATTTTCCACATAATGATGCCAGTTTGCTATTCAATTAGGTGTTTGGGTAAATTATCTTCACCTTAAATATTAAGCATTCAAGTCTTGGGTCTTTTGATGGCAGAATCACTCGTATTCCTTAAAAGTTATGCACTTGGTTTTCTGACAGTATGTGCTAATTAACGCATCGCGTGTGATCATTTTTATCTGTGACAATATGGATGCATGTGTAAAACTCCCTAGAATCGTTTCCATAGTAACCTACGACTTGATTCTCACACCATGAGACGCAAATGCTGCATCATCTCAACAATCATTAACAAATAGTGACTGAGAGAGATCGAAACCTCTAGGGAAGATTAATTAATCTGGCCCTAGTTATTAACACGAGCAAGACGGTCCTTTGTAGATTTTAATGGTATCGCGTCTGCAATATAGAAAGGAAACTAAGGTCGTGGGGTACATTTTGCTTTTCGAATACAGTTAGCTTTGAAATGAAACTGGAATTTAAAAAGAAAGAAAAAGATCGAGAATAGACCTCGTTTGGTAACGTGGTTTACGACTTTTAAACTATCAACTTATGCTGCAAAGCATGACACAACACGTTTTAACCACACAATTTACATCAAACTGATAAAAACGTTTACTTTGATTTGTGGGAAAAGGTGCAGACAGCCTCTTTTATAATGCTAATACATTTACATATTGTTCGGTAATATATTGAAAATATTAAAATAACTCAAACGGTCATGCTTGCCTATTTCATGCTCACCTATCGGCATCGTATTTTCAAACCCAGTTTTGCAACCAGTTTTACCAGTTTCTTAGTATAAATACTGAAAGATTTTTTAAAAAATCTACTAATGGTCAATCAACGGTACTCTCACATAAAGACAAAACTCACAACAGAAATGTCATTTTCTATTTCCAGGTTTTCGTATGCGGTTTTATGCTGTTGTATTTGTCAGTATATGCGCTTGTATGATGAAAATAGTTTCGTTCTTATGTGAAAAAACATTATAGTTGTAGAAGTAAATGTGGTTATTTAAGGCGCAGTGATCATTTCGATATCACTCGTCACGAAAACCATGACGATAATAGGCACGCAGATGTACTTCACTATGCTACATCTTAACTAAACAGCAATACCTGCGGCATTTCCTCTTAATGGATTTCAAATACATTTCAATCCGAACGCTAAGCTTAATATAACTATCCATATAAAACTTATTAATCATTAATGCCATTACCCTTACCACCTTTAACCCTGAGTGTACAATTTTGACTAGACCTTTAACTTGAAGACAAGTCATAAAATTCACCTCACAAAAAACAAACGTACATAAAAACATCATGTGCACACATCTTAAATCTTTTAGATTGACACAATACCTGTGATGAAGATTATCGTCCTTTCCTTTCATTTTGAACAACAAATGCTGAACAAATATGATTTGATCTTGTTGACAAAGTGCATAATACATATAGGAAAGAACACAAATACACCCTCCTCAAAACGTGAGAAAAGGCACGATCTGTTACCTATAAGAGCATTGTTTGCTTGCCATCTACTCAGTCTTGCATTCTGCGTCAGTTTGTGATCAAAATCTTTTTTTTTTTCGCAAAGGGGCTCCCCAATCTCACAACACAAACGCGCGCGCACGCACGCACGCACGCACACACATTCTTCCTCTCCCTTCTTGAAACTTTCAGCCGCTATTGTGTGCGCAATATCACCAAATATTGATTTATTTTCCCTGAATGATCATCGTTTCAATGTAATCGCTCCTTACGTATATTGAATCTTCTTTCTAGCCACATTGCGGCCTACTATAGTATTTAGGTTTATATTGGAATTGAGCATTTTTGCACATATAATGAACTGACGGTCACCATAAACTAGATAATTATAATCATCATCATGTCTTTATCTTAAATATAACATTGAATGCTAATATTCCTACACTACTCTTTAGTCCCTAGCATAACATACATTAACTAGAAGGGTGCCATCAAAACGACAGAACTTAGTGTTGCCAACTAAATAGCGTAAGTTCACAGGACAGCTAACTAATACACACCTTGACTTGCATATAAATAAAAAGTGTTTTGTCGGAAATAAGGCGATTCTCTGTAGGTAAATAATTGGTAAATCTAGGCGATGAAGTTGTGATGATAAACGCGTGTAGGAAATGCGGGTGAGAGATGCAAATGCTTGATATGCCCTACCACTTAAGTCGACGCGCTATCAAAGGTATACGGGGCGAAATTTTTGGGGTCCTCCAATACAGGCGATTTTAGTGCTTTTTTGTCAGTTCACGAACAAAACTCAATACAATATAACGATCAATTTCAGCTGGGATCGGTTTCTCGAAACAGTTTTACTCTAAAAAGAGGTTTAAAATTTGGTTTGCTTCAGTACAAGATAAAACCATATGACTTACTAGTTCATTTATATAACGTATTGGTCTAAAATTTTAGCTTTGATTTTCTTGTGATAAAATTGGTGCAATATTTCATTTAATTATGCTACTGGTGATTTATTATGAGTCGAAGTAGACAAAAATCTTCGTTCTCAAGTTAATGCCAATTTCTGGCAACAGTTTTAAATTAAACACTCTCTTTGCTCGTTTACAATCAATGAAATATCAGTGTTTTCACGCATGGCTTATTTCAATCATATAATGTTAGATCAATGAAACATTTAACTTTTTATGAGGAATTATTGCCCCATATGCCTTTTATCAATACATTTGAACAAACTAGCGAATTATCATACTGCGCTGCCCTTTTTACGGATTCAAACTGACACAAGCTATGACAGAGAAGGTAATAAAAGTTATAACTTGCACCACGTCAAAGCGGTCGAAATAATCGCTGAGTACTTTTTCCCTGACTATGGGCATATTTCTTAAACATTGTAAATCCGGTAGCAATGTAAATTATATCAGGAATGGCAGGCGTTAGACCACCAATCCACTGCTTGAGAGACATCCCTGAAGTGAATATACGTAACATCGATTTGTTAACAAATATGTGCATTGTGCATATAAATATCAAAGTGATCATTTTTCTTGGAACGGGGCGCTTGTCTGCATCGCACCAGTCAAATACTATAACAGTGGTGACGATCTGAGTAATTTCCAAGTAAAATATCCAAACGCATTCCTTGTAAAAGTCGTCATTCAGAAAATTGAAAGTGTTCCACCACCATGTGTAGTGTGGATATATTGAGATTGCAAAGAGAACAAACATGGAAAAACGAAGTCTCTTTTTGGCCCATAACTTGAAGATCTTACGCATGCTTTCGTACATTGTAAGCATCAAGAACACTGTTCCCGCCCAAACAAAAAACGTGTTGGTGGTCACATTGAAATAAATGTGCTTGTATCTTCCAATATGCTTTTCATAATTTCCTGGAATAAAAGAGAAAGCACGTTATGAAATAATAAAAAATGGGGGTTAAGGTCGAAACCTAGTAAAATGATAGTGAGCAACATCAGCGACATAATATTATGCTTTACATTCCTTTAGTTTTCAAATATTAAGCTTAGGTTATAGACATTTGGCCATTAAAACCTTTCTTTAGAGTTTTATATATATATTTTTACATAAAGATATTTATTTAAAGTGATCCATAGGCATTTTTGTTTTTAAAAATTGCAACTGATGCTTATCGGTACAGCTGTTATATCTTTGCTGCTACCAAATCAACTTGCATGTTAAAACAATTATACTGACTAAAAGCGCTGAAGCAACGAAATGCGACAAACAAAATTTCATTATATGATATTGTTTTGTTGGTCGCACTGAGAGTTACGCTCGTGCCTCGAGTTACACGGCAGGTGCGGCAAGCGTATGGTGGTTCTATGAGAACAACATCCACTGGTTTCGGAGACCATAAGTTTTCAACGTGGATATTGCTGCACTAACCTTTAAAAATAGTGTCCCAGCACGCACACGTGCAGTGCTCCCTGTCTAGCATGGCCTTCTTTTGTTCGTAGTACAGGCTTTAGAAGAAAAGTATTTGTACATGATGTACTTACTTGTTAAAATGTAAATGTCCAAAAAAGCGATGATCGTACAAACATCTAACGAAATTCAAGTAACGATTCAACCATTGTTCTAAATTAAAAGGTTAAATGTAAATTGATATCCACAGCACAGCTTAGTTGATTAGACAAAATACATATTGACATGCATAGAAATCTAAAGTAGACAAAACATCACTCGCGTTTTCTCATCTATTTATTTTGATAGCAATCTGCTTGTTTCGGTCCACTTACTCATTGTACAATAAATAACCATTCAACGATTATTTGTTATTATCATCATCTCATCATCATTATTTTTAGTTTCCTGCACTGACAGCTGAAACTAATACAGTCCATACATACCCGTGAAGGATGGCCATATGAATAGAAGGAACGGCGATGAAGAACGCACATCCTGGAAATAAAGAAAATTGCTGTCTGACATTTTCATTTATTTCTTTATCTTTATAATATTTTTGCTTCCTCTGATGAACTTAATAGTCATTGTAAAACGTGCACGTTTTGTTGTTAAAATGTAAATGTCCAAAAAAGCGATGATCGTTGCTGTTGCTAGAGTTACCAGACGTCTTCTTAGACTGTTTGTTCTACATGCTCTGTAACACTTTTGGAACATGTGGACGCGTGCTTGTGTGGGATCGTTTGAACATTAGTGTGTAGAAAATGTAAGTGTCGACCTAGGACTAATTTTCTACAACATCTTCAAGACAGCTGGCTAGCATCCCTACACACTTCCACTTCTGCAATGCAAATCCCGTTTACTTTTATATGTTACATGTACCTATGTACTGAGGCAGACGAGGCCCGAAGCTTCATCCTACGGGTGCATTCCCAAAGATTTAGATCGATCCAGAGATTCAGATTTAGATCGACCTAACTCCCTTGGGGTTCACGCTAAATTGCAGTCAGCCGAGCGCGCACCATGTTAATTACCCCCTTACAGCTTTTACTAGGCGGGACAGACGCTTAAGCCGGCTAAGCTGACAGTAATCTAGTGAGACTCCCCACAGGGATAGGTCGATCTAAAATCTATGGGAATGGGGTCTAAGATTCTTCAGATTTACTTTGCTGATAGGGCTGACCCCAGGGGTGTTGTTATATATATGGCACCCTTTTAGCAGGATGTGGTTTTCACTATCTGGCATCGGGACTGACACCATCTTAAAATATAGCTTTCTTATACAGGGGCGGATCCAGGATTATTTGAAGGGGGGGGGGTCCGCTGATGCGAACACGACCCATCCCCCTGCCCCCGGTGGTGTGGGGTTTGACGGGTTTGGGGCCCGCCGAAGGACTCGAAAATATTTGGTATTTTAGAGGGCGAACAGTGCCAGTTATAACGGGTTAAAACTATGATTAAGCTAGGCAAAATTCTAATTTTATTTGGTGTGATTTTTTTCAGAAATCGAAGGGGGGTCAGGACCCCCTGACACCCCCTTAATCCACCACTGTTTTATATGCGTTCCATATATGTGTAACAGAATATATATAATGAAGCTTTATTTTTAGATTATATATATGGCGAATATATAAAGCATGTGATCACATGATAGGTCTACACATTCCCAGTGCCCCAAGATCAATAAAAATCAACCAAGTGCTTATAGATTTCAGTCAGCATCATCCACTGTAGGTCCTATACATATCAACACTGAAATACGACTACTGAATATAGTCTCGTTCGTATCCGTCTTATGATATTTGCACAAATACCCCTACAGTCGAACTGTGCCCTTTTTATATTTTTGATTTACCATACAGGTAATATGATCAGCATACCCAGACCCGTAGCCAGGGGGGGGGGGGGGTCGGGGGGCTCGAAAGAACCATCCCTTTTGCAGGGAAAAGGTCCACTCCGGGTAAAGTTTGATGAAGTTTTTATGGAAAAAGGTCCACAATTTTTTCAGAAAAAGAACCCCCCTTTTGAAATTTCTGGCTACGGGCCTGATACCTGCATGGCAGTCATTTGACACCACGGAGAATGAATATGACAAAACAACTGGAGTGACCATTACAGCTATGTCATCTTTAAGTGTTTCCAAACCGAGCAGCTTTTAGTTAATATCCCGTATGTACCCCCCCCCCCCCTCGAACCGTAGTAGGCCTAGCAGTACCTCCTGGTTTTACCTGTGTTATTATGCATCTTGTTATCCAAACACACGGTTATGTCACCAGGTTATGCCTTTGTCATGCGTTCAAATCCAATTGCACAATTTAAGTTTAAATTCCAGATGCCTTTATATACATTTCATATTTTTCAACATATACCGGTATCTGCGTGTCAAAATGTATAGGCCTATTTCATTGCTACTTGGCCCCAACTGAGCGATTATCAACGGCAAGTAGAGGTTTGGAACCATGTCAGTCACGATTGGTAATGTGATTAGTCAGCTGCCTCTACCGATCATTATCAGGGCGGTAGGTTTTTGTTAGTTTAGATACACCTAGCGACATCTTGTTAGCCTCCTATACATACATATATAAATGTGGATGTGTGGTGCTTCCTTGTTAATCACTCGAGTGGCGAGTTAATAAGGCAGTTGACAGATAATGTCCAACCCAGTAATAATATATGTACCTACTCATGGACCCTATGAAAGAAATGAACAGTTAGGCATCGAGGCCATATTTTTCTTATGTATCTCTCAAGGTTCTCTCTCTCACCTGCAAAGAAAGTGAATTTCCTCAGTGTCTTCTTTCCTAGACCCTCCAACCTCATTCTTACTGCACTTAGATAAACTCCAGCGTCCCTCAAAACGGTAACATTCCTATTCGACTTCTGCGTGTTATTATTGACCAGGGGACTACCTTTGTCGTCTAACATGACGACAATAATCACAGGTAAAGCAAACAGCCCGCTTTATAACGCTCTGCAGAACCCTTTTGCTTTCCACCGCAGATCTGTGTTTCCTCTCTCATTCACGGCTATTGCTGCATAGACCGAAGTGGGGCTCAATACGCCATCACACGTCCTTTCTAACATAAGACGCAGCTGGTTGAGTTCATTCGTTACGTGACAGCTAGAGCGTGGATATTCATGGATGTTATTGTGACCAATATATCAACAGACTGCCTCGTGTCGTGCGCTTAAGTGGAGGGTCACTAAGCACTGTCTTTCGTGCGACTCACAATTTGAAAGCAATGAGACCGATTCGATTTCAAAAACACTGCAATTGGTGGTTCCTGGAAGAGAAATAGAAAATAAAATTGAACAAATATTGGGATATTTTTATTTTTACCATTCTGTTTACCAGTAGTGCTGACCGCGCCCTCTTTTTTTCTACTCCATTGGCTGGTGAATGGATTGAAACTATTTCTCTAATAAACTGAGGAGCCGATTCTGTCCTGCATTTATGAACTTGTTGCTATCAGCAAGCATAGCTTAAGAAAAGAAAAATCGTATCAGTTTTCCAGTTGCTAGTTTTATACATGCAATGAAACTTGAAAGTAAAATAGATGGTTTGGGAAAAGACTGATGGGTTCATTCCAGAACCTGAACAATAATGAAACCCAGTAGAAATTTCCCAAATTTTCAGATAGAAAAGTAACAGTGTCCTAAGATAATCATGATAACAAGCAACGCTTGATGGCGCGGACAGACGTACGGCGGTGATGTCCCTATATAGATAAAAAGCGATAGCTACGATAAGTTATGGCAAAGGCACCTTTTTGAAATCGAACGTGTGTTACTTCAGCAAATACTTCACAGTAAATGAGGTCAGTATTGTTTGCTGATATGCTTTTACATATATCTATAATCAGAGCCCACTGATTATATATGTATCTCTACATGCCAAACCATTTTATTCGTATTGTACACAGTAACGGCGAGTAATATCAATCAAAATGAACCGTTTAACATTTCACTTAAAATAATGACGCTTAATCAATTGACAGCAAGCAAGAATTAAGCTGTTATGTCAATAACGATAAGTAAATACTAAGAACGCTCTCAATATCGTTTGGGTCTACCACTCTCAATTTGATCTTTTATTATTATTATTATTATTATTATTATTATTATTATTATTATTATTTTAAAAGCACACACGGTAAGCACCCTGGGTTTCTAAGTCAACCGAAAACTTCTCACTTTGCACTAACCAGGAAAGACTAAAATCAACCCGGATATCAAAGACTATAACAAGAGGTCGTTTTCATTAACTGACAAGGTCACAAAGAACATCTATTGTGTGAAAGAAAATCAACGTCAGTTTTCTGAACCCCAAGGTGTTCGAATACTCATAGCACTATTTTCAATAACTGTCCCTAATATGGATACATACATGGCTAAACAGACTGGTCTGTGAAAAAATCATTAGGGTAGCAAACGCCAGAAATTTGCTCTTCCCCTGGCGATTGGTATAGTTATTTCACATTGTGTGTACAGCATGAATCATTGCGAAATATTGATATTATCAACTGTAATGAATAATTAAATAGTGATGACTTGCTCTTTAGAGGATGTAGCCTATGAGATCAACCATGGGAGAAAAAAGTCATTTTATCTTCTTTATAATAAACAGCTTTGTGTCATACGTAAATGCTCTCAAACTGGTAAATACGATACCCATTCTTATGTCACATGTTTCAGCACACAGTTGAAGGTAAAGGCAGACTGTCCGTCGGAAGCAGTGGGAACGCCCAAGCTAGAAGCACATATAATACGCGTCCACGGAGGTCCCAGGATGACGAGTTGAGGAGGACCTTAATACGCTGGTATTTTAAACAGTTTTAATTTAATAAAGAACATTAAATCTCTGGTGACAATTATCTGTGAGAGAAAGACGTCGAAGATGACACACAATTTTATTATCTTAGATAAAAAATGAAAGCATCATGTATTAACTACCAGTAAGATTTGTAAAGGAGGAACATTAAACCTTTTCCAAAATAACAACACTGATTTCCCACCTACAAAATCATATTAAGTGAGTCTGCGCAAACACCTTCGTGGCCTCTTTGCGTTTTTCATAATTTATATTTACCAAATTTGTTCTTGTTGTCACATTTGACATTTCACGAAAGTTTCATGTAATTGAAAGCGGATGCGTTATGGGAATGGCAGTTTTCATGAAGTTCTTAGTACGCGTTTTTCAGCTCATATGGCGGTCACGAAGTCAGAATAATATATCGAAAAAGAAAAAAAAACGTGCCAGATGTTTCACCTCAGCCAGAAAAACAAAGCACCTTGTGTTTTATTCAATACGACCGACGCTCAGTTTCAGTTAACACTGAAACGCACGATGGACATGCAAACGTTCTGAAACTCAGTTTTCAATGGGAATATTAAATGCATGTCTTGAACACACGCCACACATGAACTGAATTTGAAACAAGTATTAAAAAACGTATACGTGATATAGACAAAGAAATATTAAGATGTTGCTGTTCATATCCTCCTTTCAAGTACAGACTAGGCGAGGGGTAAGCTTTTTTTTAAATTCTACCGTTAAAACTATCATAGCTTTTGTCAAGTCCTGCGGTTTCACCTACCAACTTCTGGTCTTTTTGTGAACAAAATCTTCCGTTTTCAATGTTACTTAGGAAAATAATTAGACAAACACGTTTTCAGTTTATACCAGTAATTTTATTCTCACTATATAATGGATTTTACTATATTGAGAGAGTAATAATAAATAATTTAAGATACAGCGATTCTTAAGTTGAAGAATAATAAATTAAAAGATCATCTTCTACACGCCAAACTTTTTGAGCCAACTATCACGTTGCCACCGTTTAACCGAAAAGGCAAAAACCTCAGAAGAATCACGACAGTAATTGATTTATATATTGGTAATTTTAGAGCACCAGGTGATGATTCAGTTCATACAAATGTTAATTCCTTTTAAATGTCACTACCATCATTAGGTGATCATATAACACGCTTGTTTGAAAACAACTTCAGAAACACTAAAAGCACGTCAGTTCTTCCCTAATATATTTTCACAAACCATCTTTCCAACAGACTTGGTTATGATTCTTTCTTTTAAATCAATATCAGAATTACAGCAGTTCAAACGACTTAACCCTTTACATTTAACAGTCACAAAAATCGCCTCACCAAACCCATTCTCTAGAAGCAAAATTAATTTCCAATAATCAAATCAACGTCTTGCATACAAACCACACCATACGAAATTCTAGCTGTTCACTCTTAGTGAGCATTCGTCCCAACTTTTAACTAATACCCAAACCATAGTGAATTCCACTACAAACAAAATAAATATGGAAAAGAAAAACCCATGATGGAAGATGATATATGAACTCGTTAAAAGGGTTGTATGAAATAAGATTAACAATAGATACAAATCTATCCCTGAACATGAAGTTCAATACAAGAATGAAAATGCAGGTATGAGTGATATTACATGCACATGACAGGAAGCACATTCCTGTTTTAAGTTACTAAGTTGAAGCAATTCTGATAAAACGCCCAAGGTACAAGATTAGAAGGCAGAAATTAAAACACCACACAAACCACCAGTAAGATTTTCACGGCAGAAATGCAGTAAAACCTTTCCCAAAGTGACAACATCAAACTCTCCCCTTCACCAGTGCATCATATTTAATAAATTAATTAGTCTCTGTAGACACATGCCTTTATCAAACCTTAAACCTAACACAACTTCATTAATAACCACGAACATCCTGGGCACTGTTGAATTTCAAGTTTAAATAGGCCCAACAATAATCTCCAGTTGCTGGCTTTGAGAAATTCTGCCTCAATGGCCTTCACATAACCACGTTTTGTCACATGTAATATACATTTTGTTGACACAACTCGATGGTTTTTCTCTACCTCAGAGGACATATTAATCCAAAGACTACTGCACTTAATAAAGTTGTTGCTAAGTTTCATTTCCATAACATATATTTTGTTTATGGGCTCAACAATTTTGTCACAGACTATACAGTTTTTTTGGATATAACTTCGTGGTTTTCCTTGAACAAGAAGAAGACATATCCTTCTTTAGACTGTTGCACTTAAAACAGTTGTTGCTAAGTGCTTTCCCCAAGTGTGGTATTGTAACTTCTGTTTATATCCCCAGTGTTACTCCACATGAATTTTCTACACAGTATGGACTGAAAAGCACTTGTTCTTTTCCAAAAATATACATTATATTACATGTCGCATGTGTAAGAATGTTCTGGTCAGAGTTGTAATTGTCTTCTTTCCAAAATATACCAAGCATGAGATGTTGTTTTTTTCTGCTGGGATTTTTTAAATAATTTATCAATCAAATATTTGTTGTAAATGTCTAAAAGGAGGTGTCATCATCTCTTGGGAGAGTATGTTGGGTTAGAGGGCACTTCAGTGAAAGATCTCAGTTCATAACTGGCCACCCTGGGATCAAATTCAAACTTGTCTCTGGCAAAGATCAGTCTGATGTCTGTGTGAAGATACACCTTCCCGGACTTGGAAGAGGCAAACCTGGAATCAAACAAGAACTCATTATCACTCCTCACCATCATTTTTTTTTTAGGGGGGGGGTGGGGGTGGGGGTGGGGGGAGAGGGCACGGAGGAGGGGGGCAAACCACAATCATAAATGCCTTTTTCACAAAACCCCCATGTTTTCTTTAATGGATAAAGCTTGAAAAATGACTATAACATTTGAAATAATTATTTTTAGCTAAAAAGAAGTTATATATACACACAATGTAAAACTTAAGATTCCAAATCTGCTTCTGCTTAAAAGAAGTTTTCATGGACTACTGTTGTACCAGCCTGACAAACCTCTTCTGAATCACTTCAATGATACTGTGAAATGCATAATTACTAATTTACATGTATCCGTATAAGTATATATAGTACACATCTCAATTGCCTGGATAAATATCATTACACTATTATTGCAGAAAATCAAAGAAGCCCATCATGTTCCCAGTCAAAATACAACCAGGCAGAATCCTACTTAAAGTTCAACTCAACATTCCAATTGTTATCATAATTTTTTTGAAAACCCACAAGTGGCACTGTCACAAAAATAATTTTTCATTTCAATTGTTACCTGAGATGGATCAGGTATCTGAGGAAGCACTGGTCCTCTGCTGACCCAGACACTGGCATGTAGAGTGTTCTCTGGCGTATGAAGGTTTGGCAGTTGGGGGGCATGTCACTCAGGTCATACATCACCACAAACATCTTCACCACTGTCTTGTTGGGATTGAACAAAGTCTGAAGAGAAAAATATCTGCAATTATTATAAAATCCTATATCATTTATTCTCTAAACCTGGTGGCCCCTGCTATAAAACTCACAAGAGTTTTTAACCAGTTTTAGTAGTAAAAACATATGTTCACATCTTCCAGACCAGTGACAAAGAAAAATAGAGATAACGGCAGTATGTGCATGCACTCGATGAGTAAATCATTTCCATTCCATTCCATTCAAAGCCATAGATGCATGATTTTATATTTTTTTAGGTTTCTAGGGAGCACCTACCACTTGAACAGTCCCCTTCTTTGGCACATGGTATCCCCTCTTAAGGTTAGCACTCTCTAGGTTAACATGACCCTGAAAAAGTGAAACACACAGGAATGTTTAAATTACAACATAAAACTAGAGGATCAGAGAGGCGATACCGCCTCCTGATATTGTACCACCAGCTGGGGTAAGCGCATTTGTATGGGAAAGAAAAAGAAAGTGGGGCCCCACCTGTATGGTTGTGGGTGACAAGTTGCAGGAAATGTAGTAAACAAGGTGTTTTTTTTTT